TCTTTCTTTCTTTTTTTTTTTTTGAGACCGAGTTTCGCTCTTGTTACCCAGGCTGGAGTGCAATGGCGTGATCTCGGCTCACTGCAACCTCCGCCTCCTGCGTTCAGGCAATTCTCCTGCCTCAGCCTCCTGAGTAGCTGGGATTACAGGCACGCGCCACCATGCCCAGCTAATTTTTTGTATTTTTAGTAGAGACGGGGTTTCATCATGTTGACCAGGATGGTCTCAATCTCTTGACCTCGTGATCCACCCGCCTTGGCCTCCCAAAGAGCTGGGATTACAGGTTTGAACCACCGCGCCCGGCACGCCTCTGTGTTTTTCTAAATTAGATGCCAACATCTCAAACTTGGGAGAATTCACTTTAAAAATCCAGTTTTTACGGCTAAGCATGGTGGCTCACACTTGTAATCCCAACACTTTGGGAGACTGAGGTGGGCAGATTACTTGAGCTCAGGAGTTCAAGACCAGCTTGAGCAACATGGCAAGACCCCATCTCTACAAAAAATACCAAAAGATTAGTTGGGCGCACCTGTAGTCTCAGCTACTTGGAAGGCAGAGGTGGAAGGAATGCTTGAACCCAGGATGTGGAGGCTGCAGTGAGCAGAAATCATGCCACTGCACTAAAGCCTGGGCAAGAGAGTGAGACCCTGTCTCATAAAAATTCAGTTTTTAGTTGGGGTGTGGTGGCTCATGCTGGTAATCCCAGCACTTTAGGAGGCCAAGACAGGAGGATCACTTGGGTCCAGGAGTTCAAGACCAGCCTGGGCAACATAGGGACACCCTGTCTCTACAAAAAAAAAAAAAAAATTTTAATTAACCAGGTGCAGTGGCACACACCTGTGGTCCCAGCTACTAGGGAGTCTGAAGTGGGATCACCACTTGAGTCTGGAAGGTTGAGGCTGCAGTGAGCCATGATTGTATCAATGTACTCCAGCCTGGGCAACAGAGCAAGACCTTGTCTCAAAAAAAAAAATCCATAGCTACATACCAGCTACCAGAAGATGTTAGAGAATATGAAAAAAAGAAAAAAGAAAAAAAATCCAGTTTTTAGTTTAAGTATCATTCCCAGAAGGAACAAATAGGCTGGGACCAAATAATGGTACTTCACTTTAAAAATTTTTTACATTTTTTTGAATTAAGTAACAAAATTTAAAAGATACAAAAGGATGTACAGTGAAAAGTACATCTCCCTTCTATACCGGATCCCCAGCCTCTCAGAGGCTGCCTCCTTTAGATGGGACGAGTGCTTTCCAGATGTCCCCACTTTGCATCAGATGCCCCCCCCCCCCACTTATCTGCACTCTGCCTGGCCCCTTCAGACATCTGAGCTGCCTCCAAACCCATGTTACCATGCCTCTCCTACATCCCCGTAATACCGGGGATGTCGTTAGCAGTTTCACACAGCTTCTTTACAAAGCTGTGTCTTTTTAGATGGGGAGATTCACAGATGCATCAGGTTAGATACTTCTTTTTCGTGTCTACATCCCTGATAACTAGTGTCCTGTCAGACTTATAGCAGATGTCCAAGTTTGTTGAATTAATAAATGAGTGAATGGGCAAATTGTGTATTGTTTCCAGGGTCCTAAGTTGTGACTCAAATAGCAATTCAGTCAGGTGAAATCAGTAATTTAAATCCCATCAGGATCCCAGCCAAGTCCCCAGTTCATCTTGTAATACTTCCCCCAAGAACAGAATTAGATTACCTGGAAATGATGAATCCTCCACCCTTACAGAACTGGACTCAAAGGGGATACTAGGGCACTCTAAGACTACTTCTCAGAAGTGTGACAACCTCCTGTACCCTTATTCTTCTTACTATTAGGGCCCAAGGACTGAAACTTCTCACCTTTTCTCCTGAACTCTGCCACCCACTAATGGCCTCAGGACCGGGATTCCACTAACCTACTTGCACCCTTTTTTTCTCACCACTCATGAAATAATTTCATGCTATGAATTTCCCAACCATTCTAGAGATACAGCTGAACACAGACATGACCATGAACATGAAGAAGTAATAAAGTATTGAGAAATCCTTCTAGAGGTGGATGCAATGCCACACCACTGAGCACGAGATGGGCTAGATGACACAGCCCTATGGGCAAACTAGACTCAATGGGAAATGGAAGTTAGGAAAGTAAGTTTTGTCTCCTTCCTCCCTTCAATGGACTGCTCAGAGGGGCAGTTTCTCCTTATAAACCTTCTGGAGAAGCCCCACACTCTAAGTGAACACACTTGCTGGGAGGCTCCTGTATCTCTTCACAGCTTGTCATGAAGCCCAGCTACTGTAGTAACACAATGCACCACATTTTCCTTGCCTTGTTTCCCTTTTCTTCCACACTCTCACCCCCCTAGATCTGCCCCTCCCTAATAAAGTAACAACACTTTCATCTTTGCCTCAGGTTCTACTTTCTAGGGGACCTACGTTAAGAAATTGTTGTAATTTCTAGGATAACCACTGAAAGAATAAAAACAATGTATACAATTTTCAAACTAGTGAGGAAAAACACAGAATGTTAGAAAGTAAGTAATACAAAAGGCAAGAAAGAAAATATAATTCAAATATGCAGTTAAAAAATTATTTTAAAAAATGGAATGATGGAATTGTTGAAACCAATAACACAAAGATAATATATTTAAACCCAAATATGTCAGTGGCAATCTTTTTATAAATATAATAAATATATTTATTAAATATAAAATATACACAGTAAATACAAATGAGCTAAATGCTTTAGTTCAAAGACAAAGATTCACAGAATAAAAATTATGAAATAAAAATGTATACACTTGAAAGTATCTAAAATAAATCTAATTTTCATAATGAATTTTAAGCATGAAGGAGTTTTGTAACTGAATAGTGGAACTCAGAAAGACATACTGTTCAGAAAGATCTCTCATGTTAATAGTTTCCTTCACTATTGTGAAGAAGAGTTTAAAGAAAAAAATTAAAAGCCAGAACTCTTCTATTACCATTTCTATTTCTGCAATCTTCAACATACCAAAATTTTCTCTATAATTGTGAAAAGAGAGCTCCTTAAGTGTAACTAAAATTTTACCTTAACCTTATCAAATATGCAAGTAAAATTCAAAACTGTAGAAAGAGATAAAGCTTTTAAAACAGACACTGGATATCCCTTTTTATCAGGTCAAGAGGGTGAGTGTCTAATAGAGTTCCAGTAAATTTTCAGTAGGTAACTACTGAAGGCCTTCCTTCTAAACCAGATAAGGGATGCTTAAAGGCATCTCCTGCAAGCCACTGATACCTCTATTGACAAGAGATGGGAGAAAATAGCAGTTACCAGGTTACCTATAGCTGAAATTTCTCCCACATAAAGAACCACAGGGTCTAGGTTCTTGGGAGTATGACTTCTGAGAAAAACTCCTGTTACTTTGGTCACATTATCTATATAATATGTGTGTGTGTGTATACTTATTAAAAATGCATATTCCTGGGCTCCCTAAATAGACTCTTCAGGGTGGGGTTACATTGCCTTTACTGGTAACGTTTTGTTTTTTTTTTTTAACCGAGGGGGGGTGCACTATTCCTGGAAGTACTGCAATACCAGGTCAATCTGTGGAGTGGACGGAGCAAGCTCCTATTCCGTCTCCCTGCTCCAAAAATCTATTTTATATATTGTCCTCGGATAGACGACGTATCAGATTAAACTGATAAGAACAGATACTACACTTGATCTTAGCCAAAAGGCCGAGAAGCGATACTGGAAACGTTTTTTACTAAAAATTCTTAGTTATAAAATCACAAATTTCATAGTGAAACTCAATCTAGGGTACCTAAAGTTTATATACATAAAATAGACGTACCTTTGCTATGAAAGCCTGATTTACTCTTAATTGGATATAACCAGAAAAGAGTTCTGCCTGTAATGATATATTTGCATTGAACCTAAAACACAAACTTCATCATACATCACCTAAGTTTCTCTGATGACCCAGAGTAAAGCACAAGGTTTAGCATACGAGAGTGAAAGGGTTTGAATCTCACCTTCTGTCAAACTTTTAGAGCTCTGTTAACCACGATAACTGATGACCATGGTGGTATCAACTATGCTTTTACACAACTTTGTTCATAGTAAAAATCAATCATAATTGTTGCTGTATCTGGATTGGGATGCACTATAAATAATCTAAGGGAGATTTCAAGCTTTAGGCTTTCCTGAATGTGGTGACTCTTGAAATTGACATATCCCTTGTAGATACCCTGGAAGCTGTATTTATGGAATTGTTAAGAGATACTGGTTCCCTGATGCCTGTGGAGGATCTTATCTCCTTGCACCTAAATTGTACTAGTGGACTGCTACAAGGACTTCCCCTGCTAATGAGGACTGCTGGATGCTGTGCTGGCAGGCTGTTGTTTCTGTTTAATATCCTTTTGAGTAAGTAGGTAGCAAGTATGGCCATGGCAGTCTTGTGAGTTTGAATGTTTACTCTAAAATGACTTCTATTGGTCATAGCCACAAATAATTTCAGATGTACTAACTTGATAAATATATTCCAAATGTTTGGTTAAACCTAAAAAGACCCCTCTGGTGGATGTTGCAGTATATCATTTCATGGGTATTAATTTCATAACTATTTTTTTTTTAGGTGGAGTCTTGCTTCGTCACCCAGGCTGGAGTGCAGTGACACAATCTCAGCTCACTGCAACTTCTGCCTACAAGATTCAAGTGATTCTCCTGCCTCAGCCTCCCAAGTAGCTAAGACTACAGGCGTAGAGCACCATGCCTGGCTAATTTTTTTGTATTTTTAGTAGAGACAGGGATTCACCATGTTGGCCAGTCTGGTCTCAAACTCCTGACCTCAGGTGATCTGCCCACCTCAGCCTCCCAAAGTGTTGGGATTATAGGTATGAGCCTCGGCACCCAGCCTAATTTCATAACTATTGATAAATTTTCATCTTGCACTAAATTTACATTTAGACTTATTGCATTTACATTTAAACTTAATTTTCTTCTTATGCTGAATTAATGAATTAACATAAATCACAAAGATTCTGTATTTAATTATAAAAACATACAATTATCACATCAATTTAATTATAAGTAATTTACACATAATAATGCATAATGACTTTGAAAACAGTATAACTGAAAATAATAGAAAACGACGTTAATTGAGTGAAATACTACTGAATTCCAGGCACTTCTGTGACAGAACACAAATTTAAAAATTTAATAAAATATTAAGCTTTTCTTAGCAAAAAGTTTCTTAAGTCAGATTTCCCTTTCATGTTTTAAATGAAGCTTCTTCTAAAGAAGTGATTTTATTCACAGTTGCAAATTTCTTTTAACACAATGTATACATGCTGGAATCAAACTCCTGAAGGAGCTGGAATCTTATGAATACAGCCAGGGCAACAGTGTAGAGAATCATGAACAAAAACATCACAGTCCACACAGAAGACATTTTGGCACACAGCACAAACATAAACCTGTAGTGAAAACAGAAAAGTGAATAAACAAAAGTGGTTCCCAAAAATTAATTACAGCACATCTAGATGACATTCAAGGTGTGCTTTGCTCTTTTATATCTCTACCAATTTTTCCCACTACCTACTTTCTTACTTCCAATGTACCCTATATTCTCAAATCTCAGGCAATTAATTTTTCCTCAAAACTATCTCTTAGAAATGAGGGAATGATTTTGTTTTTGAGCCTTTGAAGCCTATTTTATTATGGTCCACTCTCAATTACTTCACTCTAAGAAACTATTTGGGAAAGACAGATGAGCTTCAAACCAGTGCTACTTTTGAAAGCTTAGCAAGACCACCTGATTGATTCAATTAAAAAGAGAAGCCTAAAAATTTAACATAGATTTAATTATTCTTAGGGAATGACCTCACATTTGCAAAAGTTATATTTCCCTTTCAGGTAAACCTTTAAAAAATATGTCAAATGACACAGGTAAGACAAATAATAAAATGAATGAATAAATAAATCTCAAACAACAAAGACGATGACCTATTCCTAAAAATTCAAACGAGGCTCACACCTCATTTAAATTAAAAATTCAAATGAGCCTCAAATGTGGCTCACACCTGTAGTCCCAGCACTTTGGGAAGCCAAGGGAGGCAGATTGCTTGAGCCTAGGAGTTCAAGACTAGCTGGCCAACATGGTGAAAACCAGTCTCTACTAAAAACACAAAAATTAGTCAGGCATGGTGGCACACACCTGTAATCCCAGCTACTTGGGAGGCTGAGGCACAAGAATTGCTTGAACCTGAAAGACAGAGGTTGCAGTGAGCCAAGATCGCATCTCTGCACTCCAGCCTGTGTGACAGAGCAAGGGTCTGTCTCAAAAAATAAAACCAAAAACCTCAAATGATTCAAAAAGGGGTTCCAGTAAAGATGAAGCTACTGATGTCAAATAGGTATGTAAAATTTAATAAAATTGTTTTATAAAACATGACAGTTGAATAGCAATACTAATTAATATTTTATATAATTAATATGCTTTTAAATATGTACATGTAACTAAAAAATTAACAGCTAGACAGTGATTCATATTATTTACATCTATACAAGTTTATATATTAAAGTTGCCCCTCTTCAAAATTAAAAAGAAATTTTTCTCATTGGCCTAAGGGTCACCTATGATCTGTGACCACCTTAAACAATATCAATGTGTTATCACACAGCTTAAAGGATAATATGGCTGGGCGCGGTAGCTCACGCCTATAATCCCAGAACTTTGGGAGGCCAAGGCGGGTGTATCACGAGGTCAGGAGTTTAAGACCAGCCTGGCCAAGATGGTGAAACCCCATCTTTACTAAAAAAACTACAAAAATTAGCCAGGCATGGTGGCAGGCACCTATAATCCCAGCTACTCAGGAGGCTGAGGCAGGAGAATCGCTTCAACCCAGGCAGAGATTGCAATGAGCCAAGGTCATGCCACTACACTTCAGCCTGGGTGACAGAGTGAGACTACATCTCAAAAAAAAAAATATGGAGAAAATATTTTAAATACTTCCAGACTAAATGCAGTTTAGATTGAAAGCTAAAGGTAAATTACATGTTTTACAAGTGTGCAAAATGCACACTTTGTTTTACAAAGTAGGCAAAATGATCAAAGCATTAAAAAAATGAAGAAAAAAATTTTTAATAAAAAAATCTTGAAAATGTAAGTTACAAAATATATTTATAACAAAAATTAGGATGCAGAACAACAAAACTACTATTTAAACTACTTTGTTCCCATTTTACCTCCACCTATTATAATTATCTTTACAAGAAATAAACTGATATGAGCCTGGTCTTTTAACAACCTGTTGAAAACTTATAGCACCATTTTTTCCAATATTTCTTGTACATTACTGAATATTTAGAAAGCCAATGAACTTACATGTTGGTCTTTCAATTCCCCCTGACATCCATAACAAAATCTGAAAAAAAGAAGTTTAAGAATTTTTCTTAGAATTCACTCATTAAAATAGTTCAGCAAAATCTCAATAACTAGAAACTTTTCATTAATAAGTAATTATTTACAAACAAGACTTTCAAGAAAAAGAGTTAAGAATACCCCTAAGCCAGGCGTGGTGGCTCATACCTGTAATCCTAGCACTTTGGGAAGCTGAGGCAGGTAGATCACCTGAGGTCAGAGTTCATGACCAGCCTGGCCAGTATGGCAAAACCCGTCTCTACTAAAAATACAAAAATTAGCTGAGCATGGCAGCAGGCACCTGTAATCCCAGCTACTCAGGAGGCTGAAGCAGGAGAATCGCTTGAACTCAGGAGGCTGAGGTTGCCGTGAGCCAAGATCTATCACTGCACTCCAGCCTGGGCGGCCAGAGCGAAACTCCGTCTCAAAAAATAAATAATAATAATAATAATGATTTTTTAAAGTCCACAGTATATACGAGGTCACCTGACAGCCCAAAATTTAGTTTTATTTTCATTAACGTTAAATGTGAGCGTGCTTTATATTTCTTTTTTCTTTATTTTCAAGACAGGGTCTTGCTTTGTCTTAAAGGCTGAAGGGCAGAGGTGCTATCGCGGCTCACTGCAGCCTCAAACTCCTGGGCTCAATTATCTTCCTGCCTCAGCCTTCTGAGTAGCTGGGACTATAGGCATGTACCCCCATCCCTGGCTAATTTTTTATTGAGACAGGGTCTCCCTGTATTGTCCAGGTTAGTCTTGAACGCCTGGGCTCAAGCAATATTCCCACCTTGGCTTTCCAAAGTGGGAGGATTACAGGCATGAACCACCATGCCAAGCCAGAAACACTTTGAAAACTTTTGTTCGATAGTCACTTATTCTAATAAGTGCTATTTCGTGTTTATTCACAGTTATTGGCTATGAACCTCCAACTATGAAAGAACGGAATTTAATTCCCTTTTAACCATCTTGAAATGGGAATGCATAAATATATAACTAATGTCATTCTCAATTATTTCTAGTTAAGTCTTCCTTTTGGATAGAACAATAATCAATGTTTAGTTTACTATGCCTATAAAAATATTCTCAGCTAAGCCATAAATTTTCACCTATTTGAAACATTTTCTTCCTGGAAATACTGTGTTGCTATTCTCAAGGTTAGTTTCCTATGTAATTGACATTAATTCATTCCCAATCTTCTGACTAGTCTAACAGTCCTCTCAGTATATTCAAATACATCAGGAGTTCTGCAGTTTTCATCCTCTTGGTTCTATCTCTCCTGGAGCACTCTGACTGTCTCCAAACTGGACTGTTCCCCATATCTGACACATAGGTATCATTCTGGGATATCTCCTTATCATCATCCTAGGGCGTTCTTTAGCTTGTTTTGAATTAGATACCTATTACTAGATCCCCTATCATTCTCTTTCTCAGTTCCTTTGAATCACCTATCTCGTCCATACCTTCCCCAGAAAAACCTTTTTGAAACCTTACAAGTCTGAAAATGTCTTTATTCTACCTACACTTAATTTATAGGTTGGCTAGGTATATAATTTGGTAACAATTTTCACTACAAACTTTGAAGGTGACTGCTCTGTCTCTGCACCCAGTGTTGCTAATGAGAAGTCAAACAATTTTAATTGCAGATCCTTTGTGGGTTACCTAATTTTTCCTCTCTGAAAATGTTTAGGGTTGATAATTTATTGTGTATTCTGAAATTTCACAATTATGGGGCCTGTATTCCTTCAGTACATTAGGCACTTGGCAGTCCCTTTCTTTTATCTTTGTTGTGGAGATGAGGTCTTGGCATGTTACCAGGTTGCACTGGAACTCCTGGCCTCAAGTGATCCCCCGATCTCAGCCTCCCAAAGTGCAAGGATTACAGCTATGAGCCACCCTACTCAGCCAATAGGCCCTTTCAATCTAGAAAGTTCTGTCCTTCAGTAGAAAATTTCTTTGATGATTTTCTATCCTACATTTTATTTTTCTTTCTTTGTCATATTATTCTCATATTGGACCTTCTGGATAAATTCACCAGTATTCTTATCTTTACTCTCCTATTTGAATCTCTTTATTTTACTCCTCTTGTATTTTCTGGAATATTTCTTCAACTCTATCTTCCAATCCTTCTACAGTACTGGGTTTTTCATTTCTACTATACTTAACCTCAACCATAGCAAATAAATACCAAGCTTCAAACAATGAGACTTGGGATTTTTTTTGTCTGTGAGTTTTGACCAACATAAAAAAATTTCATAAAACCTAATGTTGGCTAAATATGGGAAAACAATAAATAAAACTTTGAAGGACAACTTTACAATATCAATCACAATTCACAAAACATGTAAAACTTTTGACTCAGTAATTTTACCTCTAGGAATTTGCCATGCATTTATACTCGTACAAATGTTCAAAAATACAGATATAAGCATTATTTGTTAATAGCAAAAAAAAAAAAAAAATCTTAAATATCCAACAGGGGCTGGGCACAGTGGCTCATGTCTGTATTCGTAGCACTTTGGGAGGCCAAGGTGGGCGAAATCATGAGGTCAGGAATTCGAGACCAGCCTGGCCAATATGGTAAAACCCCATCTCTACTAAAAATACAAAAAATTAGCTGGGCATGGTGGCAGGCGCCTGTAATCCCAGCTACTGAGGAGGCTGAGGCAGGAGAATTACTTGAGCCTGGGAAGCAGAGGTTGCAGTGAGCTAAGATCATGCCATTGCACTCCAGCCCTGGTGACAGAGCAAGACTCCGTCTCAAAAAAAAAAAAAAAAAAAATCCAACAGGAAGCAATTGGTTATATAAACCATAATTATTCATGAAATATGTAACACTTTTAAAAACATCACTGATCTAGATATGGTGATATTAAATTACTTCCAAATGATTTAAGTGTGAAAAGCAAGATGAATACATAATTGTCTGCTAGCCAGTAAGTGTTTAATGTGATTCCTAAATCCTGGATGTTCTTAAAAGTAGTAAATCTTTATTTTCTGAAAACTATTCTATAAAAGATTGACCCACCTCTATTTCAGACTTTATTTGTTGTATTTCATACAAATACCACTCGTAAAATACCTAAAGATTTTAGATAGATTATGTTATGCCAGATTATTTTATTTTTTCTTTTTGTTGTTGTTTCTCTCCTTTGTTTTTTTTTTGGGGTTATTTTATTTTTTAAGAGACAGTGTCTCACTATGGTGCCCAGGCTAGTCCTCAACTCCTGGCCTCAAGTGATTGTCCCACTTCAGCCTCCCAAAGTGCTAAATGAGCCTCTTATTTTCAGTAGTGTGCTAGGACTGGATTGTACTGGCTTAAGAGAATCAATTGTTAAATATATATTCAAGGATTTTGACAGCTGGTTGTTAACTGGTAGCTAAAAACTGGCCATGATAAGAGTATTAAAACCATGGAAATCAGCAAATACTACCAATCAGGGTTTTTTTTTCCTTTTCCTTCTGGAGAACTGATTTAATAGTATAATCATCACCCTTATTTATACATAGGTGGGTTTAGGGAAATTATCTGGATTCTGGAGATTCAGATCTATTTTAACAATGAGTCATTTCAATCATAATCATGGCATTCTTCATCTCATCTTCCATATTGGTCTTGTCCAAGTTAGTAGGATTATATTTTAAGGTAGTAACAATCTATTCAAACATTAGTTTACCACTTATAACAAATACAAATTAATCCAAACTGATATACCTTTCTCCGTTATATTCTTCTAGGAGAATTTCTTGAAAAGGATCCAAAGGAAACAAATGATGGTAAGACCGTGCCAAGTGGGGGGCAGACACCAAAGTAAGACCTGACACATTAAGCAGAGAGACATGTTTAGTAGTCCAAACCCATGAAGACAATGGCTGAAAAGATGCAACTCAGGCAGAATATTTTCAGTTTCTTTTAGGATGGCAGTTATTAATTTTACCTGTGGCTATAAAAGAAGATTGCAGAATGGAGTCTTAGTTCTGTTACTAAGTATGTAACCAACCTATCTTGGTCTATTTGCTTACTTATATTATAAATGAAATAAAATTAGACAATTCTATCAATTTAATTCTTCATTTTTATATTTATAAAGGTAAGAGATAGAAAAATGTCTACTAGACCTACTGTATTGCCTTTAAAAAATATACTTTTTTCAGAAAAAGGATCAGGAAACTAGAATGCTATTTTTTTTTTTTTTTGAGATGGAGTTTTGCTCTTGTTACCCAGGCTGGAGTGCAATGGCACAATCTCGGCTCACCGCAACCTCCGCCTCCTGGGTTCAGGCAATTCTCCTACCTCAGCCTCAACAATTTAAAAAATAACCTATTTCTCTTTGCACAGATTAAATCCAGAAACATATGAATAACTTAACATTTACATGCATTTTAGCAGCAATACAGATAAGAAGTCATTCAAGATTTACTGAATAATGAATACTTGGTTTCTTACCACAGATTTTACATTCGACAGGTAGCTCACAGTACTTTGCCCGACACTGTGGGCAGAAATAGCCTCCTAATGTAAGCCCTGGCTCAGTATTGCCATCCAAATGCCTGTAGGGGGAAAAAGGTAATATATAAAGGTCTGAAAAGTTAGAGCAGGAAAGCACACTACCTTGGTCTTAAAATCATGACACTATTTAAAAGTCTGTATTTTTGGCCAGGCACAGGGGCTCAACACATGTAATCCCAACACTTTGGGAGGCCAAGGCGGGCGGATCACCTGAGGTCAGGAGTTCGAGACCACCCTGGCCAACACAATAAAACTCCATATCTATTAAAAATACAAAAACAAAAAAAAAATGAGGCGGGTGCAGTGGTATGCACCTGTAATCCCACCTACTTGGAAGGCTGAGGCAGGAGAATCGCTTGAACATAGGAGGTAGAGGCTGCAGTGAGCTGAGATCATGCCACAGCACTCCAGCCCAGGCAACAGTTCGAGACTCCATCTCAAAAAAAAAGAAAAATGCAAAAATTAGCCGGGGCCCTGTAATCCCAGCTATTTGGGAGGCTGAAGCAGAACTGCTTGAACCAAGGAGGCAGAGGTTGCAGTGAGTTGAGATTGCACCACTGCACTCCAGCCTGGGTGACAAGAGCAAAAACTCCATCTCAAAAAAAAAAAGTCTATATTTTAAAAAATTGTATATGTTTTTGTAGAAATAGGGAATCACTATGTTGACCAGGCTGGTCTTGAACTCCTAGCCTCAAGTGATCCACCTGCCTCAGCTTCTCAAAGTGCTGGGATTATAGATGTCAGCCACTGTACCTGGCCTAAAAGTTTATTTTAAATCTGTGAATATGTCTTATAGCTCAATTATGCTACATTCCTTTTTTCCCCCTCTCTTCATTATTATTATTTTTGAGATAGCGTCTCACTCTTGCCCAAGCTGGAGTGCAGTGGCACAGTCTTGACTCACTGCAACCTCTGCCTCCTGGGTTCAAGCAATTTTCGTACCTCAGCTTCCTGAGTAGCTAGGATTACAGGCATGTGCCACCATGCACAGCTAATTTTTGTATTTTTAGTAGAGATGGGGTTTCACCATGTTGGTCAGGCTGGTCTCAAATTCCTGGTCTCAAGTGATCTGCCTGCCTCGGCCACCCAAAGTGCTGTGATTACATATGTGAGCCACTGCACTCAGCCCTTCTCTTTAAGTTTCTATTACTATCCTTGAATTTACTAATTTTTTTCTTCCGTAGTGTCTAATCTGCTGTTAATCTCATCCAATGTATTCTTCATCTAAAACACTGTACTCTTCATCACTAGAAGTTTGATTTGGGTCTGTTTTATACCTTCCATATCTCTTCTTACCATTATTATGTTCTCTAATTTCCTGAACAAACAGAGTATATTTATAATTGTTGTCTTACCACATCTTTGTCTACTAATTCTTTTTTTTTTGAGACAGAGTCTTGCTCTGTCACTCAGGCTGGAGTGCAGTGGCATGATCTGGGCTCACTGCAACCTCTATCTCCTGGGTACAAGCAATTCTTATATCTCAGCCTCCCAAGTAGCTGAGACTACAGGTGTATACCACCACACCTGACTAATTTTTGTCTTTTTAGTAGTGATAGTTTTTGTCATGTCAGCTATGCTGGTCTTGAACTCCTGGGCTCAAGTGATCCACCCACCTGAGCCTCCCAAAGTGCTGGGATTATAGGCATGAGCTACTGCACCTGACCCTTCGTCTATTAATTCTATCAACTGGGTTACTTCTGGGTATGTTTCCATTCTGTGATTTTTCTCTGTTTTATAGATCATATTTTCCTTTGCATCCCTGGTAATTTCTGATTGGCTGACAGACATTGTGAATTTTGCTTTGTGCTGGATTTTTTTAATTCCCTTAAATATTTAATGGCTTGTTCTAGAATATACTTCAGTAACTTGGAAATAGTTTAATTTGTTCAAAACTTGCTTTTAAGCTTCATTAGGCTGGTCCAGAATAGTCATCAGTCTAGAATTTTCTTTCTTTCTTTCTTTTTTTTGACCTTTGGTTCCAGTTCTTGTGATAGGATTAATCTGATCCCATTACTCTGGACTCTATTCAATGCCTGTCATGTTAAGAGGTCTTTCCATACAGACTGGCGAGAACATGAATCTTCCTGTACGAGCTCTGGGAATTGTTCTGTCTGCTGCTTTCCAGTGATTCTTTCTCTGACTTCCAGTAGTTTCCTCACACAAATGTGATCAACACTCAGCTGCTGACTCATGAGCAAGTCTCTGCAGATCCCCAGAGAGTTCTCTGTGCAGATCTTTCCTCTTCAGTATTCTGATCTGCAAAATTATTGCCATCTCAGCCTCCTTGAAAGATGGAACTTTGTTTCTTCAACTCAACTACATCTCCAGGCTCTGTCTGCAGCCTGGAAATTCCATTGAGGTGGTAAGCCGGAGCACTCTTAGGGCTCATCTGTTTCCTTTCTTTTCAGCGATCATTATCAGCTATGCCTGTTGTCCAGTGTCTGAAAACCACTGTTTTATATGTTTTGTCTGCTTTTTTTGACAGGAAGGTAAATGTGGTTCCTGTTACACCTTTTTGGCTGGAGGCAGAAATCTTGTTTGTGGTTTTTAAGAATAACTCGCTTAAATTTAATTTTGTTTTATAATTATGTAAAATATAAAGCTCTAAAGTTAAAACAAGGTACAGTCGGCCGGGTGCGGTGGCTCACACCTGTAATCCCAGCACTTTTGGAGGCCAAGGGTGGTGGAGTGCCTGAGCTCAGGAGTTCATGATCAGCCTGGGCAACTCAGCGAAACCCCATCTCTACTAAAATACAAAAAAAATGAGCCGGGTGTGGCGGCATGCTCCTGTAGTCCCAGCTACTCGGGAAGCTGAGGCAAGAGAATCACTTGAACCCAGGAGGCAGAGGTTACAATGATCCGAGATCACACCACTGCATGGCCTGGGCAACAAAGCGAGAATCCTCTTAAAAAAAAAAAAAAAAAAAAAAAAAAAAAAAAAAAAAAAAAGGACAACAAAAAGCAAGGTACAGTAATATTCTATATGACATTTTGGTAAATGATGGACCACATATATGACAGTGGTCCCATAAGATAATACCATATTTTTATTGCACCTTTTATGTGTTTAGCTACATAAATACTAAGTGTTGTATTACAACTGCCTATACTATTCAGCATGCAATATGCTGTAGAGGTGTGCAGGCTAGGAGCAATAGCTATACCATATAACTGAGATGTATAGTAGCCTGCACTATCTAGGTATGCACACTGTGATGTTTGCACAATGATGGTATCACCTAACGATGCATTTCTCAGAACAAATACCTGTCATTAAGTGATGCATTCAAAAAAGTCTAGGGTTTATCCCTTTGCTTTTCCCCACACACTCATGGAGGTAAACATTAAAAAAAAAGTTCTCCACCCCCTTTAAAAATTTGTATTTTTCCATACTATTGTTTTTATTATTAACATAAACAAGTATATATATCTACTTACATCTCTACTTTCTTCTTTTTTTTGAGATGGAGTTTTGCTCTTGTTACCCAGGCTGGAGTGCAATGGCGCGATCTCGGCTCACTGCAACCTCCGCCTTCTGGGTTCAGGGTTCAGGCAATTCTCCTGCCTCAGCCTCCTGAGTAGCTCAGATTACAGGCACACGCCACCATGCCCAGCTAATATTTTGTATTTTTAGTAGAGACGGGGTTTCACCATGTTGACCAGGATGGTCTCGATCTCTTGATCTTGTGATCCACCCGCCTTGGCCTCCCAAAGTGCTGAGATTACTGGAGTGAGCCACCACGCCCGGCCTATCTACTTTCTTCTTAGGTGATTAGTAGCATACGACAAAATTCTCTCAAACTTACTATTTTACTTAGTAATAAGATCATTCCATAGAATTATATACAGATAGTGTTCATTTCCTAGCTTTTGAATTTATAACTTAAAAGAAGGAATTAAAAATGTAAAAACATTATCACTAATAATTTCAAGGTCTTTACTTACGCCATGCTGAAAGAGGGTTTTGCATCCTGATCCGATAAAGAAGCGATGGTGTGCTGAGGAAATCCTTAATAGAAGAAAATGTATTACTTTCTTTTTCCAACCAAGGAGCAGAATTCTAGGACTAAGAACCTAAAAATGTTCTTATCAAAAAGCCAATAAGGTTGTACAAAATACCACTTTCCTGCCTCTTAGATAAGCTTATTATAGCATGATGAAACTGACTAATTCCAAGCTACAAGAAAAAGTAGAGGAAATGGGGGAAAGACCTATCTATATGTATGACTTCAAATTCTGAAGTTCATATATATATGTTTTCTTTTCTTTCTTTTTTTTTTTTTTTTTTTTTTTTGAGATGGAGTCTTGCTTTGTTGCCCAGGCTGGAGTGCAGTGGGGCAATCTTGGCTCACTGCACCCTCTGACTCCCAGATTAAAGCGATTCTCCCATCTCAGTCTCCCACATAGCTGGGATTACAGATGCCTGCCACCATGCCCTGCTATTTTTGGTATTTTTAGTAGAGACAGGGTTTCGCCATGTTGGCCAGGGTGGTCTCAAACTCCTGACCTGAGGTGATCCACCCACCTTGGCCTCCCAAAGTGGTCGGAGTACAGGCATGAGCTACTGCACCCGGCCTTTGTAGCTTATTTTAAAAATTTCTTAATACAAGCATTTTTCTATAAACACAGTTGATACCTTTCTAGCTTAAAAAATAAAGAAAGCCAACAGTGTTCTCTGGGTGACAAGACTACTGGTAGTTTTAATATGTTTCCTTTTTTTTTTTTTTTTACTTCTCTGTGCTTTCCAATATTGCTTCAACAAGCATATTTTTTCCTAAAAAAATTCTTAAATGTTAAAATAACTTCTGCAAAAAAACAAAACTAGCATAGTTTGAGCCAAGATATATATTTTTAAAAAACATAAGAACACTTACCCATACGAATGAGCGAGCATTCAGAACTTGAGCTAGCAGGAGGAGGACTAACATGATGTGTGAGTAATTCTTTGTAATGGCTTTCATCTAAAATAACGTGGTATGTGCCTAACAAGATGAAAAGAAAAAAAAAACCAGCTTTGTAGACATAATGAAGTATACATTCTATGTAATTCTTGTAAAAGTTTTATCATCTGAAAATGTAAATTTTCAAAATAATAATTTTAGTTAAATCATCACTTTTAAAACCTTATTTAAATAATATATCTAAATCAACTTCTCTAGGAATAACTGAAAATACAATTTATTATTATTACTATTATTATTTTAACATAAAAATAGACACAGGTCTCAGTATGGTAACCAGACTGATCTCAAACTTCTGGCCTCATGTGATTCTCCTGCCTTGGCCGACCAAAGTGTTGGGATTACAGGCATGAGCCGCCATGCCTGGCTTGTAATTACAATTTAATTAAAGGCAAGTTATAAAATCTTTATAAAGTAAAACATACAGTAAAACTTCCAGTTTTCCAAGAGTTAGAATACTTCCTCTTAATACTGACGTAAGTACTGAAAACTCTTTGCATTTTGAGATGATTTCTTATAGAATTAATTACATATTTAAGATGACTGACCATATTTTAGACTACTTTAAGTTTAATAGCTCACAAGAGATTAAAACATCTAATTTAATAAATTCTTTCCTACATAGTAATTATGAGTAAATATTAAAGATATTAGATATATACCGCCAGTTTCACGAGCAAGTGCAGTGCAAACTCGAACCTCTGCAGACAATCCAATAACAGATACTCTAATTTTAGCTGCCTTTAGGGTCTTCATAAAATCCAAGTAGATAGATAGTTTTAGAAAAGAAGAAAAACATTTAAGAATTAATGTATTTGAAAAATAAAGAATGCTCTGAAAACTAGTGATAAATTCACTACATCTACCACAAAGATGGATCTCACACACACACAAAATATATATATATAAATAAAATTGCTATAGAATTCTCTTTAGAGTTTTAACTTTGGTTTTGACTTTTTGGTCTACCTTGATTAGATCATAAATATTAGATGGATCACAAGTTGTAAGGCTGCTGAAGATGATTAGTACTTCTCGACTTGTATGTCCGGGCATATGTCTTAAAAGAAAGATAAAATACACTCCAATTAGCTACAACAAATTACACTACCAAAATATTTACCCAGATTGAATAGTATACATAGGATTACACATTTAGGCTATAGCATACCTCATCTGTTTCAACAATGCAAGGAAAGGTTGCGAGATTATTTAAAATACTTTAATGTCAATTTTTCTAAAATGAGCTATGTACTTCAAAAAATTATTTATTTATTTATTTATTTATTTTTTTGAGATGGAGTTTCACTCTTGCTACCCAGGCTGGAGTGCAATGGTGTGACTCGGCTCACCGCAACCTCCGCCTCCTGGGTTCAGGCAATTCTCCTGCCTCAGCCTCCTGAGTAGCTGGGATTACAGGCACGTGCCACCATGCCCAGCTAATTTTTTGTATTTTTAGTAGAGACGGGGTTTCACCTTGTTGACCAGGATGGTCTCGATCTCTGGACCTCGTGATCCACCCGCCTTGGCCTCCCAAAGTGCTGGGATTATAGGCTTGAGCCACTGTGCCCGAACCCAAAAAATTATTAATTGATTCATTTAATAAACATTTACTGAGCACTCTCAAGTTCTAGGGATAGAGTGATAAATAAGGTTCCCAACATCATGAAGCTTACATTCTAGTAGGTTTGTTTTATACAAAATCTAAAGTATACACTACGAAATACAACATCATATAGATAAACTTTAAACTAAAATGTGGCAACATCACATGGATCAGCTTTTAAGTGTATAAATGTGGCTTAAAAACAGTAACACACACTTCTTTCTCAAACACTATATAGTAGTCCCCTCTTAACTGCAGTGGATACCTGAAATCAAGGATAGTACTGAACCATATATATATATATACATATATACAGTCATCCTTCGGTATCCTTGGGGGATTGATTTCAGGCCCTCCTTTGGATACCAAAATCTGCTGATGCTCAAGTCCCAGATACAAAATGGCGTAGTGTAGTAGGCTGGGCATGGTGACTCATACCTGTAATCCCAGCACTTTGGGAGGCTGAGACGGGCGAATCACTTGAGGTCAAGAATTCCAGACCAGCCTGATCAACATGGAGAAACCCCATCCCTACTAATAACACAAAAGCTAGCTGGGCGTGGTGGCACATGCCTATAATCCCAGCTGCTCAGGAGGCTGAGGCACGAGAATTGCTTGAACCCAGGAGGCAGAGGTTGTGGTGAGTGAGCCAAGATTGCACCATTGCACTCCAGCCTGGGCAACAACAGCAAGACTCCGGCTCAAAAAAAAAAAAAAAAAAAAGTGTATTTGCATATAACCTATGCATATCCTCCCATATATTTTAAGTCATCTCTAGATTATTGGTAACACCTAATACAATGTATGCTATGTAAATAATTCTTAATCCTCTATTGTTTAGGAATAATGACAAGAAAAAAATGTTTATTTGTTCAGTACGGGTACAATTTTTTTCCAAATATTTTTGATATGTAGTTAATTGAATTCACAAAAGCAGAATCCAGGATTTGGAGGGCTGACTATACCATATTTTTCCCTATACAGGCGTACCTTGGAGATACTGTAGGGCTGGTTTCAGACCACAGCAATAAAGCAAATATCACAATAAATATTTGCAATAAAGTAAGTTGCATGAACTTTCAGGTTTCCTAGTATATATAAAAGTTCTGTTTACACTATACTGTAGTCTAATAAGTGTGCAGCAGCATTATATGTAAAAAAACAAGTACATACCTTAATTAAAATTACTTTATTGCTAAAAATGCTAAAAGTCAACTGAGCCTTCAGTGCTCAATATCTTTTTGTTGGGGGGGGTCTTGCCTTGATGTTGATGGCCACTGTCTGATCAGAGTGATACTTTCTGAAGGTTGAGATGGCTATGGCAATTTCTAAAAATAAGACAAAGTAGTTTGCCACATGGGTCAACTCTTCCTTTTATAAAAGATTTCTCTATGGCATGTAATGCTGTTTGACAGCATTTTATTCACAATAGTACCTTTCATTCCTCTGAAACCCGCTGATGCTTTACCAACTAAGTTTATAGGATTTTTTTTTTTTTGAGACAGACTCTTGCTCTGTCGCCCAGGCTGGAGTACAGTGGCATGATCTTGGCTCACTGCAACCTCCGCCTCCTTGGTTCAAGCAATTCTCCTGTCTTAGCCTCCCTAATAGCTGGGATTACAGGCATGTGCCACCACGTCCGGATAATTTTTGTATTTTTAGTAGAGGCAGGGTTTCACCATGTTGGCCAGGCTGGTCTTGAACTCCTGACCTCAAGTGATCCACCCACCTCAGCCTCCCAATGTGCTGGGGTTATAGGCTTGAGCCACCACACACAGCCAGTGTAGGTATTTTGACCACCTTCCACGAATGGCATTTCAAATGGAGAATCCTTTCCAGAAGATTTTCAATGTACTTTGCCCAGATCCATCTATGGCAGTCGCAGCCTTATGATATGTATTTCTTAAATAATCAAGATTTGAAAAATCAAAGTATTCCTTTATCCAAGGGTTGCAGAATGAATGCTGTGTTAGTAGGCATAAAAATAACATTAATCTCCTTGTACATCTCCATTGGAGTTCTTGAGTGACTGGGTGCATTGTCAATGAGCAGTAATATTTTGAAATAAATATTTTTTCTGAGATAGATCTCAACAATGGGCTTAAAATATTCAGTAAGCCATGCTGTAAACAGACATCCTATCATCCGGGCTTTGTTATTCCATTTGCAGAACACAGACTGAGTAGATTTAGCATAATTCTTAAGGACTCTATGCTTTTCAGAATGGTAACAAACATTAAGCCACCAGCTGCATTAGCTCCAAACAAGAGAGGAAACCTATCCCATGAAGTTCTGAAACCAGGCATTCACTTTTTCTAGCTATGAAAATCCTAGAAAGCATCTTCTTCCAATGGAGGGCTGTTTTATCTACATTAAAAATATGAGGTCAGGTGCAGTGGCTCACACTTGTAATCTCAGCACTTTGGGAGGCTGAGGCAGGAGGATTGCTTGAGCCCAGGAGTTCAAGACCAGCCTGGGCAACATGGAGAACCCTACCTCTACACAAAAAAAAAAATTAGCCGGGCATGGCGTGGTGGCACATGCCTGAAGTCCCTGCCACTTGGGGAGCTTAGGTGGGAGAACAGCTTGAGCCTGGGAGTTTGAGGCTGCAGTGATCCATGATCGCACCACTACACTCTAGGCTAGGTGACAGAGAGTGAGACCCTGTCTCAAGAATAAACAACAACAACAAAAAAAGAAAATGTGATATTTAGTGTAGCCATCTTCAACAATTATCTTAGCTAGATCTTCTGGATAACTTGCTGCAGCTTCTACAACAGCACTTGCTGCTTCCTCTTGCACTTAAGAGATGGCTTCTTTCATTAACCTCATGAGCTCAGTTCCGTTAGCTTCAAACTTTTCTTCCGCAGCTTCCTCACTGCTCTCAGCCTTCACAGAATTGAAAAGAATTAGGGCCTGGTTCTGGATTAGGATTTGACTTAATGGACTATTGTTGCTACTTTAATCTTCTATCCAGACCATTAAAACTTTCTCCATATCAGCAATAAAGCTGTTTCACTTTCTTATCATTTGTGTGTCCACTGAAGTAGCACTTTGAATTTCCATTATTTTTAAAATTTTTTTGAGACAGGATCTTGCTCTATCACACAGGCTAGAGTATAGTAGCATAACCATAGCTCACTACAGCCTGGAACTACTGGGCTCAAACCTCCTGCCTCAGCCTCCTGAGAAGGTAGGACTACAAATGCTCGCCACTGTGCCTGGCTATTTTTGTTTGTTGTTTGGCATAAATGGTGGGGGGGAGTCTTGTTATACTACCAGGGCTGGTCTCAAACTCATGTCCTCAGGTGATCCTCCCACCTCAGCCTCCCAAAGTGTTGTAATTACAGGTAAGAGCCACCATACCCAGCCCAGCACTTTTAATTTCCTTTAGGAACTTTACCTTTGCATTCACAATTTGACTAAGTGTTTAGCACAAGAGACATAGCTTTTAGCCTCTCTTGCATTCTAACATGCCTTTCTCACTAAGCTCGATCATTTCTAGCTTTTGATTTAAAGTGAGACAGGCGACTCCTCCTTTCTCTTGAATACTTAAGAGGCTACTGTAGGCTTATTGGTGTAATTCCAATATGTTTGTGTCTTAGGGGATAGGGAGGCCCAGAAGGAGGGAGACTCGGAAATGGCCAGTTGGTGGAACAGTCAGAACACACATAACACTTATCAATTATGTCTGTTGTCTTATATGAACCCTGTTTGTGGTGCCCTAAAACAATTACAATAGTAACATCAAAGATCACTGATCACAGATCACTGTAACAGATATAACAATAATTTACAAAGCTTGAAATATTCCAAGAACTACCAAAGTGTGATATAGAGGCATGAAGTGAGCACATACTGTTAAAAAAAAAATAGTACCAATGGACTTGCTCAACACAGAGTTGTCATAAACTGCCAGTTTGTTAAAAAAAAAAAAAAGTTATCTGAGAAGTCTAATAAAGCAAAATATAACAAAATGAGGTGTGCCTGTACATAAACACCTATGATCAAGTTTAATGTATAAATCAGGTACAGTAAGAGATGAACAAAAATAATTAAATAGAACAATTATAACAAAGGCCGGGCATGGTGGCTCACACCTATAATCCCAGCACTTTGGGAGGGTGAGGCGGGTGGATCACGAGGTCAAGAGATTGAGACCATCCTGGTCAACAAGGTGAAACCCTGTCTCTACTAAAAATACAAAAATTTGCTGGGCATGGTGGTGCACACCTGTTGTCCCAGCTACTCAGGAGGCTGAGGCCAGAGAATTGCTTGAACCCAGAAGGTGGAGGGTGCGGTGAGCCGAAATCGTGCCATTGCACTCCAGTCTGGGTAACAACAGCGAAACTCCAGCTCAAAAAAAAAAAAAGAACAATTATAACAATATGCCAGCATCACTACTCCTGCACATTTGGGGTCATTATTAAGAAAATAACACAAACACTGCAACAGTTTGACAGTCAGTAACAACAGTTAATCTGATGACTTAGGCCGTTACATGGGTGGGCAGCATATAGAGTGTGGATCTGCAGGAGCAAGGGATGATTCACGTCCTGGGCAGGGCAGAGAGGTAAGGTGTAGGATTTCATCATACTACCCAGAATGGCATGCAACTTAAACCTTACGCATTATTTATTACTGAAATTTTCAATATTTTTCAGACCAAGAGTAACTAAAAGTATGGAAAGTGAAACCGCAGATAAGGGGGATTACTATAATTTAACCTCATAGTAATTCAGAGTCATAATAATCATAATCATTAATCTTATATATGGTTTAACTAAAATGACAGCTTGTGGATTTGTGGTGACCAGTTTTCACTTACACTAATTAGTGGTTTCTATGTTTTCTGCAGCAAGTTTATCAGTTAGTTATTGCTTTTCTGTTTATATTTTCTTTGTTATTTTCTCAGCTCTTACTGGTAGACCCTGCTACTGTACTTACCTCTATTACATGTGTTACCTCATTCTCATTCACTTCAAAGGTATAAGGTATAAGGTCTGAGCCACGACAGACTATATATCCAGAGATAAAATATATAAGCTTTAGGGAGGCTGAGGCGGATGGATCACTTGAGGCCAGGAGTTCAAGACCAGCCTGGCCAACATGGTGAAACTCTATCTGTACTGAAAATACAAAAATTAGCTGGGCATGGTGGCACACACCTGTAATCCCAGCTACAAGGGAGGCTGAGCACAAGAATCACTTGAACTCAGAGGGTGGAGGTTATAGTGAGCTGAGATCGTGCCACTGTACTCCCGCCTGGGTGACAGAACAAGGCTCTGTCTGAAAAAAAAACAAAAAAACAAAACACAAGAGCTTTAACTATACCAAGTATTTCCTTTGGGGTCTTAGCTTTATTCCATATAGCTGAACTTGCCATGCAAGACTGCTATTAATTTATAGGAATATTAGGTTGGTTCAAAAGTAATTGCAGTTTTGACCATTACTTTCAAAATAAATGTTAATAAAAGTACAACCAATTTACAATTATACTACACTAAATCTCATTTTAATAAATTTTTTTTCAACATATTTCTTTTGTACTATTGATACTGCATAGTTTTAAATTATACTTTTATAAAACCTTTAATAATATCCTACTAACATGTAAAATAAAAATCACCAACCAACACCATATTGAACATCATAAATGACATTACATATTTTTCTTACTTAACAATTTTGTTATAGCTGGGTTTATGGGCCCCATACTAACACATCATTTCAACTTAACTCATTAAAAAAACTTCTAAATCAATTATAAAAAATGTATGATACTAACTTTAGAGTTTGCATAGCCATGCTTAAGGAATTATAAAGAGATGGCTCTCCATGGCAGGTCATATCCACAGCTTTCTTCAAAGATGTTACATGTTTTCTTGGGTTTCCTAAAATAAAAATAATCTTTTAATAAAAGCCTATATATTATAAATACAAATAATCTCCTTATAGACTAGCATATTTTAAAATAATATTAACCTAGAGTACATTTTTACTCTTAATATTTCCATATTTCATCATTTTTAAGACCAATACATACATTTTTCTTTTTTTTTTTTTTTAGAGACGGGGTTTCACCATGTTGGCCAGGCTGGTCTCGAACTCCTGACCTCAAGCAATTAACCCGCCTCAGCCTCCCAAAGTGCTGGGATTACAGGCGTGAGCCACCGCACCCAGCCAAGACCAATACATGTTCACATTTTGACATCTCTGAAATTAGCATGTGTTTAACAATCACTGGTAGCAAGCAGCACTTGTAATAGTTATCTTTGCCTGCTCATATGTGAACCTACAAATAAGTCTTCATACGCTGTTGCTTCAACTACATTATGTACATTGTCCTCTTTATAGTGAGTTTAACTGCCATTTAACATGGTTTTTAGGGCTGGACGCGGTGGCTCACGCCTATAATCCCAGCACTTTGGGAGGCCGAGGCAGGTGAATCACAAGGTCAAGAGATTGAGACCATCCTGGTCAACATGGTGAAACCCCGTCTCTACTAAAAATACAAAAATTAGCTGGGCATGGTGGCGCGCGCCTGTAGTCCCAGCTACTTGGGAGGCTGAGGCAGGAGAATTGCTTGAACCTAGGAGGTGGAGGTTGCAGTGAGCCAAGATCGCGCCATTGGACTCCAGCCTGGGTAACAAGAGCGAAACTCCATTTAAAAAAAAAAAGGGCGAAACTCTGTCTCAAAAACAAACACACAATAAAATGTTTTTAGATAGGTTGTTAATACAAAAGGCTGTATTTTTATGTAGAAAGGTGTGGAACACAGCAGTGAGGCATAAATTTATTATCAATGAAGCAAATATTCATTAATGAAAGAATGTATGCAATTCCGTATTTTTCTTGAGGTAAGAAATTAAGAGCTTTACAAGACCTAAGAAAGGAACATTTCCACAGAGACAAAGCTGTGTTATCTCCTCCTACCAAACAGCATCTGAAAAGACTGTCTATCTTATACCAAGCAATTCAAATGAAGGGGAAAAAGCTGCCAAATTCTTTTTTCTCTTTTTAATATAAAAATGTATTGTAGATAGGATCTGGCTCCGTTGCCCAGGCTGAAGAGCAGTGGGGCGATCTTGGCTCACTGCAACCTCTACCTCCCAGGCTCAAACCATCCTCCCACCTCCACCTCCCAAGTAGCTGGGACTACCAGTGCCCGCCACCATACCTGGCTAAATTTTTTTGTATATTTTTGGTAGAGACAGGGTTTTGCCATGTTGTCCAGGCTAGTCCTGAACTCCTGGAATCAAGCAATCCTCCTGTCTCAGGCTCCCAAAGTGCTGCAATTAGAGATGTAAGCTACCACGCCAGGCTCCCAAAGTGACAGTCAAATTACCAAGAAGCTAGTATAACCAATTCATATATCATTTGATATTGTGTTAAAATTTAACTACCAGGACTTTTCCTTCTTAATGGCCCATAAAAGTATCTTATAATTGATGGAATCTGAGGTTCAATGAAATAAGAGTATTCTGTAAACATTTTCCATTTCAGCACTGTCTTTGTATCAATCAATAATCTAAGCATCATTAAATTGATTTTATCATACAATATAATTCATCAAAGTACTTCTACACTATTAAACATTTTATTTCTAATCTGTCACTATTATACATAATATTGCAAAGAGTATCTTTGTAGAGTGATCATTCTCCTTCCATAACATTTCCTAAATATAATTTCAGGAGCAATTTTTATGCTTTTCTAAAAAATATTAAGTAATTTATAAGACTATCAGCACTATAAATAACAGTTTCTCTGTGGTTCCACAAGCAACACATTGCTTTTGAAACTTATTTTTGCTCATTTAAAATATATTAAATAGAAGGCAGGGCACGGTGGCTCAAGCCTGTAATCCCAGCACTTTGGGAGGCCGAGGCAGGTGGATCATGAGGTCAAGAGATCGAGACCATCCTGGTCAACATGGTGAAACCCCGTCTCTACTAAAAATACAAAAAATTAGCTGGACATGGTGGCTTGTGCCTGTAATCCCAGCTACAGGAGGCTGAGGCGGGAGAATTGCCTGAACCCAGGAGGCGGAGGACGCGGTGAGCCAAGATGGCGCCATTGCACTCCAGCCTGGGTAACAAGAGCGAAACTCCGTCTCAAAAAAAAAAAATACATATATATCTATTAATAAAATATTATGGAATTGTGGAATTGGACGGAATTGTTTTTTGATCACTAGTTTCCCTTATTTAATTTCTGGTTTTTTAATTTCTTTTCTGTGTGAATTATGTCTTGTCTATTCATCAACTTCGAGCTCCCTAGAGTTTTTATTCATCTGAATAAGTTTTAAAATACTAACCATTTGTAATATTTAATATTTATTGCAAGTATTTTAGATTCACAAATTTTAGAGATGAAAAGTACCTTGCTAAGTCCAAATCCCGCATTTCATAAGTGAGAAAATTAATCTAAACTAGTGAAATGATTTGCCCAAAGACATATGTCTACTTAACTACAGAATCAGCAGCACTCAAACCTAGATCTGGCTATCTACTTACTTTCCTACCGCATCATACAAAATTATTTTTAATCTCCCACTATGTTATGGGTATAAGAAAAAAGCACACCACGATAGTGTCAGCATGGTTTAAAAAAGGTGCCTTCAGGCCGAGCACGGTGGCTCACGCCTGTAATCCCAGCACTTTGGGAGGCCGAGGAGGGTGGATCACGAGGTCAAGAGATCGAGATCATCCTGGTCAACATGGTGAAACCCTGTCTCTACTAAAAATACAAAAAATTAGCTGGGCGTGGTGGCGCATGCCTGTATTCCCAGCTACTCAGGAGGCTGAGGCAGAAGAATTGCCTGAACCCAGGAGGCGGAGGTTGCGGTGAGCCGAGATCGCGCCATTGCACTCCAGCCTGGGTAGCGAGAGCAAAACTCCGTCTCAAAAAAAAAAAAAAAAAGGCCTGTCAGAATCTCCAGAGAATTTTTCATCTTTATACGCATGACTTCACTAACATCCATAGACAACTGCTGAGGCTGGGCATGGTGGTTCACAACTGTAATCCCAGCACTTTGGGAGGCTGAGGCGGGTGGATCACCTGAGGTCAGGAGTCCACATCAGCCTGACAAAACATGATGAAATCCCATCTCTACTAAAAATACAAAAATTAGCTGGGCATGGCAGCACACACCTGTAATCCCAGCTCCTCGGGGAGCTGAGGCAGGAGAATCACTTGAATCACTTTAACCTGGGAGGCAGAGGTTGCAGTGAGCCATTGTACTCCAGCCTGAGAAACAGAGCAAGAGACTCCTTTTCGGTGGCGGGGGTTGGGGCGGACAGGGAAAGAAAGTAAAAGAAAACTGCAGGTTATTTGGAGAAAGTAAACTGAGAGGAAGGAAGACTGACCCTATATCCCTACCTTGGGGAGCCATCCTTCTCCCACTATGTAATAATCCTGCTTAGTTCATGTGGTACTGACCCTACTTCTATCCTGCTCTGGGCATAGGCAGGTAATCCAAGCACACAAACAAAATACTTCATTCCTTCTTCCCTCACTTTCTTCATGGATGGGAAGATCATAAGTCAGGCCAATCAGGGTCCTCCTTAGACTTGTGCTGAAGCCATAGGCTACCAGTACCATGAAGACTGGGACTATTAAGAGACATCTTTTCAAATTCCAGAAAATCTAACAGAGGATGAAGCCAGACAAAGCCAGGACCCCAACATATGCAGCAACTATAGATGAAATTAGCCCACCTTTGAGCATAAGCCAAAAATTTTCCTTCTGCACTTAAGCTAGTTTGACATTCTTTTGATACCAAGTTTCTTGGATCACTCCAGGCAAATGTACATTTGACTCCTCACAGTCATAATGGAAAACTATTGATGAAGAAAGTAGGTCATTTCCCTTATGTGTGTTGACAAAGACAAAAGGTTGAGAACCATTTTTTAAGGGATAGTGTATTTCACAGAAAATAAAGTAGAATCAGTGTTGCTAATTTGTAACAGCATATATACCAAAGCAAATAAAAACTGCCATTTACTATCTTTTGAAACTAAAATTCAGTTAGGCTTTATGCCATGGAAGCAGAAAAATTGATTCATTAGCAATTGCTATAGTTCAGTTTTTGTATGTTTTCCTTTTTAAATTAGATGCTTAACTTTTTAAGAATGTAATTTTAAGATTAACTGGATTTTATAAATGGTTACAATAATTATATTTTAGTATTTTCAGGATAAGAACATATTAATTTTAAATAAAAAAATTTATATTCAATGTAATATGATTTACCACTATGCAGAATTCAATTTAAAACAGTTAACCTTATATCCTAAGAATATAACGGTGGGGAAGATGTTATTAAATTGTTTCACCTAGAGAGCACAGAAGAGGCCTTCACATTACTTATTAAGCAGCCATACAAACAGAGTTACGAGGTTGGGTAAATAAAGCAAAGTCCTTGAGTCCTGTAAAGGTAATTTTATGCATACCTGAGAGTTCAGTCAGTTTTTCAGCTCTTTTACTCTTAGTTACAATTATTCCAATCTTGAAATAAAAACAAAAATTATTATTAATATAATAAGTTATTTCCTCCCAATAAGAATACATATAACTATTCCTGTAGATAATATTGGGGCAGAAATAAAAGAATTTATATAGCTAAAATAAGCTAGTAACTACAGAAGAAAGAAGCAACATGTGAGAAACCTTTTGTCATTGTGTTTTTGGCAAATAAATTTAGCTATGAGTTCACCGTACATTGTTTAACTTTTAGAGTTACTATGCTTTTCATTGATAAGTATGCCAGAACCTGGTTAAACAATCTGGGTAATTCACAAAATACATGTCCAATTTTTAAAAAATAAATTATGGCCAGGTGCAGTGGCTCACGCCTGTAATCTCAGCACTATGGGAGGCCAAGGCGTGCGGATCACGAGATTAAGAGATCGAGACCATCCTGGCCAACATGGTGAAACCCTGACTCTACTAAAAAATACAAAAATTAGCTCGGTGTGGTGGCGCATGCCTGCAGTCCCAGCTACTCGGGAGGCTGAGGCAGTAGAATCGCTTGAACCCGGGAGGCGGAGGTTGCAGCCAAGATCAGGCCACTGCACTCCAGCCTGGAGACCGAGTGAGATTCCGTCTCAAATAAATAAATAACATTTTGCAGCAAAATAGGAATCTAATTCTGAATTCTATCACTTATATACGTACCTGACTAATAGGATTTTGATCAAAATATTCCTCTACGAAGTATTCCAACAACTGTTTAAACAAAAAAAAAAGACATACTAGATAAAGGCAAAATAACAACCATATAAAACATGTCCAATTGATGTTTGTGAAACCTGTTTATCAAGCCTCACTTCTCACGACTTTTAAACTTAGCAGATTTTCTTTTTTTTTAAAGACGGGGTTTCACCGTGTTGGTCAGACTGGTCTTGAACTCCTGATCTCAGGTGATCTGCCCGTCTTGGCCTCCAAAGTGCTTGGATTACAGGCATGAGCCACCACGCCCGGCAAACTTACAGATTTTCAAAGTATGTTAATAAAAATATTAAATAATAAAAACCTTAATTTGAAATGGTGGGTGATGAGATAGGTTTGAGCTAGGTTTTAAAAGATGGAACCATTTGGATGTGCCAGAAAAAAATTTAAACAAGGGAAAGGTCCAATGAAGAGAGACGGGAGAATGAGCAGAACTAAGAACAGGTTTTGTTGAATTAGGAATAATATGAATGTGTTTGTAATCTGAGGAGAAAGATTTAAGTAAGGCAAAGGAGAATGAAGATTCAATAAAGAAAAGGAATAACTGAGAGCAAGATCCTGATGTGGGGTGGGAGGATAGAAATAAAAAATACAAATAATTAGCTATGTTGGTTTATAATTTCTTTAAATGACCTAGCAGTACCTCTACTTAGCTATCATTAGTATTAACTAAAAATACAAAGCAAAAAAAATTTTTTTTAATTGCATTCTTTAAAAATATCCTTTAGAATCCAGTGTTCTTCCCCACTTTTTTTTAGTAAAAATTAAAGTGATTTTAGTACAAATTTAAATGATTTAGTATAAATTTAAATTTTACCTTTAAAGTACATGTCAGTCTATTAGGCTTTAAATCTTGGTCTTCCATTGTTCTTGATCCATCTACTACCACATAAAGGTGACGCATCTACCAGAAAAAAGAAAGGGCCAATTTCAAGTACCTGTTTTGTTTTGTAGAAATTGGGTCTCACTTTGTTGCCCAGGCTGGTGTCAAACCCCTGGGCTCAAACAATCCTCCCACCTTGGCCTCCCAAAGTGCTGGGATTATAGGTGTGAGCCACTATGCTCACACTTCAAGTGCCATTTTGACTAGTAAAAATGACATTTAATAATTATATATTCTATGCATATATTTTTAATGTATTATTTTTAAAAGTTTGTTGTTTTGCTATTGTTTTTTCTAGCAAGCTAGAATGCTTCTCTAACCCAAACTAGTTCTGTACTAGTAAAAGAAAAAATAATGACATACCATTCCAAGTCGAACTTGTCCATGGTGCTCAAATACTCTGTTAAAATTATACAAACATTTTAATGGAATTCCATATACTATCCCCTACACAAAAAAATAAACACAACTTTCCAATTGACCTGCTTTTTCTTTTTTTCTAATTCTGATTAAGAATGTCATAATTTGAATTTTTTAGTGGAGTAAATAATTAACTTATGGAATACATATAATTACAGGTATTATAGATAGTCTCTGAAGACCATTTTCCTGCTGAGGCAAGGGTAGGTAGCTAGTTCTTTCCCCATGGTCAGAAGGCAACAGGTCAGCTCCCTGAAACACAGCTGAAATGAAGTACTGAGGAGTGTTTACAGCTAGAAAGGCTTAAAATGAATATATTTTACCTTTTTAACATGCATAGGAAGAGGTTACATACCTTTTTCTCTTTGCCTTAAACAGAATGTCTTCTATTGTAGCTTTAAGTGATCCAGATTCATCTTCTTTAAGAATCTCCCTATAAGTTATAATTATTCATTTGAAAAGATAAGCTAAAATGATTACTAGCCCAAATGAAATGAAAATATATCTCCACATAAAGAGTTACATGTGAGTGTTCATGGATGCATTTTCCTAACAGCCAAAAACTGTAAAGAACCTAAATATCCACAGACTAGTGAAAGGATAAACAATAATGTGGCATAACTATAGATGGGAATACTATTCAGCAATAAAAAATGAAGTATTAATACACGCTGCAACATGGATGAGTCTTGAAAATAGGTGAAAGCCAGCCACAACAGACCACTTATTATAGTCATGCAGTGCTTACTGACAGGGATACAGTCTGAGAAATGCATTGTTAGGCAATTTCATCATTGTGTGAATATCATAGGGTATACTTACACAAACCTAGATAGTATAGCCTATCCCACGCCTAGGCTACAAACCTGTACAGCATGTTACTATACTGAATATCTGAGACAACTGTAACACAATGGTCAGTATTTATGTATCTAAACATACATAGAAAAGGCACAGTAAAAATACCATATTATATCATGGGACTATCTTTTATGCGGTCTTTGACCCAAACATCATTATGCGGCACATGCCTGTATATGGTCACATTTTTGTGAAATGTCCAGAATGAAATTAATTGTAAATGGATATGAAGGATCTTACTGGAATGGTTAAAATGTTGTAGAACTCAGGTGCAATGGCTCGCACCTATAATCCCAGTACTTTGGGAGGTTGAGACGGGCAGATCTTGAGGTCAGGAGTTCCAGACCAGCCTGGCCAACATGGTGAAACCACATCGCTACTAAAAATACAAAAATTAGCCAGGCGTGGTGTTGGGCGCCTGGAAAATCCCAGCTACTCGGGAGGCTGGGGCAGGAGAATCTCTTGAACCCAGGAGGTGGAAGTTGCAGTGAGCCGAGACGTGCCATGGCACTCCAGACTGGGAGACAGAGTGAGACTCTGTCTCAAAAAAAAAAAAAAAGGGCCGGGCGCGGTGGCTCACGCCTGTATCCCAGCACTTTGGGAGGCCAAGGCGGGTGGATCACGAGGTCATGAGGTCAAGAGATCAAGACTATCCTGGTCAACATGGTGAAACCCTGTCTCTACTAAAAATACAAAAAATTAGCTGGGCATGGTGGCACGTGCCTGTAATCCGAGCTACTCAGGAGGCTGAGGCAGGAGAACTGCCTGAACCCAGGAGGCGGAGGTTGTGGTGAGCCGAGATCACGCCATTGCACTCCAGCCTGCGTAATAAGAGCAAAACTCCGTCTTAAAAAAAAAAAATGTTCTAGAACTGGTTTATGGTGATGGCTACAGCGCTCAGTAAATTTTCTATCAATAAAATCACTGAATTGTATATTGGAAATGGGTAATTTTAACATATGTAAAATATACCTTAATAAAGTTGTTAAAAAAAAAAGACATCTAAAAGACAGAGCAATAATGCTCTCCTTACCATGTTCTTTCATAGCCTCCTTCCCATCGCTTAGTTCTTTCAGGTTCTTCATCCATTTTTTAAAATATGTATTTTATTATTTAATAATCTGTAAAACCATTAGAATGTAAGTTATCTAAAGATGTTTGTTATAAAATGCATCCAATTAAATTAGAAAATTAGACACATAAAGTAAAAAAAAAATCAGAATGCCAGGTCCTTATTCTTCCTATTTTACTCAATAATTGTCATTAGATAAAAATCCTCATGGAATTCCATTTCTCATTTCCAAGAAATAATATGAACACGTATACACAAAATTGGGACCAATAAAAATAAGCATCTTTTTACAATCTGTAAAAGAACAAAAATGCTTTATAGATGTGTCACATGACAAACTGTAGAATTGTGAGGAGTACGGGTGTAGCTAAACAAGATTAGACACAACTAATTATTATAGCTGAGTGACATACGTGATTCATTGCACTATCTCTCCATCTTTGTCTAAATTTTATCAAAATCAAAAGTTTTAAAATGACATTTATTATTTATAAATGGGTAAATGCTTATGGCTCATAACTTTAAAAAAAAAAGACAAAATTAAACATAGTTCTTTGAGACATCTCCAAACTGCTTTCCATAGTGGCTGAACTAATTTACATTCCTATCAACAGTGGGGAAGCATTCCCTCTTCTCCATAACCTTGCCAACATCTGTTATTTTTTTGACTTTTGATAACACCCATTCTGACTGGTGGTGAGATGGTTTCGTGGTTTTGATTTGCATTGTGGTTTTGGTTTGCATTTCTCTAATGATCAGTAATGTTGAGCATTTTTTTCATATATTTGTTGGGTTACATGTATGTTGATCCAACAATCTGATTACTTTCTAGTAGAGATGGGAAAAGTTTCTAAAGTGCTGGGATTACAGGCGTGGCAATGTTCTCAATATTTTTAAACTCAAATTCTTGGCAGGACACAGTGGCTCAAACCTATAATCCCAGCAGTTTGGGAGGCCAAGACAAAAGGATCACTTGAGTTCAGGAGTTCCAGACCAGTCTGGGCAATAAAGTGAGACCTCATCTCTAGAAAACATCAAAAAATTAGCTGGGCGAGGTGGCGAGTGCTTGTAGTCCCAGCTACTTGGGAGGATAAAGCAGGAGGATGGTTTGAGCCCAGGAGAGTAGCTGCAGTGAGTTGTGTTCACTACTGCACTCCAGACTGGGTGAGAGTGAGACCCTGTCTCAAAATAAATAAATAAACAAAAATAGAAACTGAGAGACTTTCGGCTGATCACATCAAAGGACTTCTCTCATATATATATATATATATAATCAGTAGTCCGTTTCCTGGAATCCAACTCCAGACAATCCCTCAACATATACCTACTGGTGTGATTCCCGTTACATGAGCTCGGAATGGTATCTGCAAACAAATGAGAGCACCAAACACTGCGATGTAAAAAGCTTTTCCCCATACCTTACCCTACCAAGTACTATGAAACTGGCAAGGGTGATTATTGTCCTTATTTTTCAGGTATGGGATTCAGGGTCAGAGGTTGGTCACTCTCTCAATCGGGTCACAAACTCGAACCTTGAACCATCATTTCTAAAAGTCGCGCTTTTACTTAGGGAGGGAGGGCCTGCAGCCTCCAATGCTACTGGGCGGCTCCCCAGACGAAAGTTACCTTCCTTTGCCTTCACAAGCTCCCTCACATCCTCCTTTCCTAAATGCCCAGGCAGGGCAATTCAGCCTCTGTTCCCCGCCACGAAAACCCTCCTAGCCGCCTAGCTAGCCAGATGGCCTGCCCCAACTCTCCACCTCACAGACTTCCAACCGTGGACTCACCGGCCCCGCTGGAAGGACGCTCAGCCGGAAGCTCCGCCCCGCTGCTTTAGATGCGACCCAGAAGTCCTTCCGCCGCGCCCTGCGGCCAAGCCGAAACGTTCCGGATGTTGCAGGCTGCAGCTGCCGGAGCGGGGCACTAGGGTGCAGGGCATGCCCGGTGCTGACCTGGGGCGCGGGAAGGGATCGCCTTCCAGCTGGAATTCACTGAGAACCATTGAGTGATCGCCATTCGTTCTCGGAAGGTCGAAGGCTCTGCAGCCGTCGACCTAGGTTCTGAGGAGCTCGATCTTGTTTTTCTACTTCTAATAGGTTAGGATGAAGAACCCTGGTCATAGAAGCAAGGCCAGAGTTATCCTTGATTCTTGTTGTGTATTTCAGGACTCCTCCGTTGCTCTTGCTGTTCATTCAGCTAACATTAATCATCTACTTTGAACCTGATGCATGTCTAAGCACTGAGGAAATAGCAATGAAAAACTGACAAAAAATCCTTGCTCTCATGGAGTTTTCCTTCTCCAAGGGAAGTCAGTATGAAGAAAAACATATACTATATGAAATGGTGATAGTGCTGTGGAGAAAAACTAAGCATTGAAGGGGAAAAATTGCAGTTTAAAATAGAGTGGCCAGGCTGGGCGCGGTGGTTCACTCCTGTAATCCCAGGCCTGGAGATTTGGGAGGCCGAGGGGGTGGATCATCTGAGGGCACGAGTTCGAGACCAGCCTGGCCAACATAGTGAAACCCCCGTCTCTACTAAAAATACAAAATTTTAGCCAGGCCTGGTGGCAGGCGCCTGTAATCCCAGCTACTCGAGAGGCTGACAGGAGAATCCCTTGAACTCGGGAGGCAGAGGTTGCGGTAAGCCGAGGTCACGCAATTTTCACTCCAGCCTTGGGTGACAGGAGCAAAACGCCGTCTCAAAAAATAGTGAAATAGGGTGGCCAGGAGTCCTCGCTGAGAAGACAGTTAAGCCATGACCTGGATGAGGAAGGGTGTTAACCTGCTGATAACTAGGGAAAAAGCTCTTCAGACAAAGAGAGCTTCAAGTGCAAAGACCCTGAGGTAGAATTGCACTGGATTCTTTGACGACTGCAGGAGTGAGCAGGGGATAAGTGGTGGCAGCTGCAATCAAAAGTGTAAGGTGGGGAGGAGAGGCTGTGAGCATTGCTAAGAACTTTGGAGGAATTGTGTTGTGATAGCTTGGACCAGCAGCTGGTGAGAAGTGACTGAATTCTTAATCTTCCCGATACACTGGATGTGTTATGAAAAAAGAATCAAAGATAGCTCCAAAGTCTTTAGCTCAGCAACCGAAAGGCTTTGCAATTATTGAAACGTTGGCGGAGTCAGTAAGATCAATTCAGTTTTGGACAAGTCGTTTGAGTGCCGATTAATACAAGTGGAATCACTGGCATACCTGAGAAATGGAGAGGCAGTGCACCCCCAGATGATCAGAAAAGGATTAGGAATAACAAAGGCATTGCAGAAGCTGGGGCTTCTTTCCTTCTCCATCAGCATATTCATCCCCTCCATTGTCTTTATTTTACTGTTACAAAATTCTTTTCATCTCTGTTGTCTCCCTCAAAAATATAAACAAGGTGTCTTGCATAACAGTGGAAAGAAGAGCCCTGGATTGAAAACCAGGCTCTGACACACTGGCTGGGTGACCTCAAGCAAGTCACAACGGAAGTCTATGAACTAATGTGTAAAATAGGGTTGTCTCCACCAACCCTACAGGGCTTAGTTGCAACTCTGTAACCAGTCTCATTTCTTCCCAGAAGACAAGATTTTATTGTTTAGTTTTTGTGTCTTTGCATGATTTTTTTTTTTTTTTTAAGACTCAGTCTCGCCGGGCGCGGTGGCTCACGCCAGTAATCCCAGCATCCCAGCACTTTGGGAGGCCGAGGCGGGCGGATCACGAGGTCAAGAAACTGAGATCATCCTGGCCAACATGGTGAAACCCCGTGTCTACCAAAACAATACAAAAATTAGCTGGTCTGGTCGTGGTGGAGCGCGCCTGTAGTCCCAACTACTTGGGAGGCTGAGGCAGTAGAATTGCTTGAACCTGGGAGGCGGAAGTTGCAGTGAGCCAAGATGGCGCCACTGCACTCCAGCCTGGCACCTGATGACAGGGAGAGACTCTGCTTAAAAAAAAGAAGAAAAAAAAAGACTCAGTCTCGCTCTTAACCGCCAGGCTGGAGTGCAATGGCATGATCTTGGCTCACTGCATCCTCTGCCTTCCGGGTTCAAGCAATTCTCCTGTCTCAGCTTCCTGAGTAGCTGGAATTACAGGTGCTTGCCACCACGCCCGGCTAATTTTTGTATTTTTAGTAGAGATGGGGTTTCACCATTTGGCCAGGTTGGTCTCAACTCCGGACCTCAGGTGATCTGCCCGCCTTGGCTTCCCAAAATTCTGCGATTACAGGCGTGAGCCCCACGCCCGGCGAAAAAAGTTTTTAAAGGGAGAGAAGGGGAAATTAGTTGTGCAATGTCAGGAAGCTTCCATGCTTGCCTCCCTCCCACCTTTGATCCCATTAGAGGACTCACACACAAACTCCACACTTTTCCTTCCATCCTTCCATCAATCCTAACCAACCGTCCTATTGCAAGATGGGATGCATTCCTCTAGGACAAACAGCCTAGAGGAAAAGACTTTAAGGAAAACCAGGAAAAGGACAGAGGACTACCCAAGAGATATAAAACATATTTGTGAAGACAGAAGACTGAGTTTTCCTAACTGTAATACTTGCTCTGTATAGATTCTAGACATGGATGTTAAGATTCAACTAGGAATGGCACTAAAGCAAAACAATATAAAACATGCATAAATCTATAACCTCTTGGCATGCATATGACTAACATAATGTCGTAATCATGTACAAAGTGGTAGAATACATTATGTAACCTCAGACGCTTTTTTCAACTTGTAAAACTAACTATAAATAATGGAATAATCTGTACTTTGCTTGAGTGGCTAGACACAATCAATAGGGTTAGGACATTCACAATCATCTTAGCCAGTGCATCAAACTGATATAAAAAGCATGCAACCTGAATAGACAGGTTCCCTTACAGGAAAACTAGGCCTCATTGAAACCTCCAGAAGGTCTCATTGAAAACCTGCATAACTGAAAACAGTATCTAACAATCGTGATCTTGATATGCAAACTATTTGCTCTATCCTAAAGAAGCATTTATCATGTAAAAATAGTTGGAATGCCAAACCTGCATTCTCTCTCTAGAATTCAAAAGAATTTACACTCTAAGGCTGCACCCAGCACAGACCAATCATATGGGATTGGATGATACCCGCACTTTAAAAAACACAATTTGCTTTTAGAAAACTTGTTAAAGTGCCCTCTTGTGTTCTCCCCTTTCCCCCTCCCCTGGCAAAAAAGAAAGCTTGTTAAAGTTTCACCTTCTGGCTTTGGAAGATAGGGGTAGCTAGGCATATTTACTTTTGGACAAGGACTGAGTCATACATTAACTATGAGATTATTACAAATATATTTTACATATACAAAAAACTGAAGTAAGGGGGCTCGTTTCTCCAAGATCCCACAGCAAGTAACTGCAGAAGGACAAAGCAAAAATAGGACAACACATGCACGCAGTACCAAGGAGGTCTTGTGGCACCAACTGGAAACCGTTCGGAGACACTTCCACATTCCATTGTAGTCATACACAAAACCTTAGTTATGGATCCATGCTTCTCATAACGCCAAAATGGCACTATTCTAATTTACGAACACAACGTTTTCTAAAAACTACCCAAATTATTGAAGTGTTTTTGCCCACTTCTTCCCATTAGAATAAATGTAGACAGTAAGAAACACGTGAGAGATGATGCAGTCCTCCATCAAATTTGTCCTCTCACAGGAAATGGCATGATGTAGTGTAGCAGAATCATGAGCTGCCAGGAAATTATGAAGTCTGATTCCTCCAGCTGAGTCTTTGAAAAAGTCCAGGTGGGAAACGCTGCCATCCTGATGCTGAAGCAAGGAGAATGTCCTTGTGTGAGGAATTCTCAACACCAACTGAAGCTAAGGTCCCTGGAGCCATGATAAAAGCACTTTTCTGCCCTGATTCTTCTTTACACACATATACCCATTCAGGTCTTTATAGATATTTCCCAGGAAGCCTTTATAAGTACTTAAAATGCACTCAATATTAAAATAGGATATTTTATTTACATCATAGTGATCTATCTCATATTAGCCAATCTATTGATTAACAAAGTCAACACAGGATGGAAGTACAGAATCTAATAGTCCAGGCTGGGTGTAGTGGCTCATGCCTGTAATCCTAGCACCTTGGGAAGCCAAGGCGGGATCACCTGAGGCCAGGAGTTTGAGACCAGCCTGGCCAACATGGTGAAACCCCGTCTTTAAAAAAAAAAGAATCTAACAGTCCAAGAGACCAAGATCTGAATCCCTTGTTTTGCCACTTGTTAGTGTATCATATCATTAGTTCCTTGTCTATAAAGCAAGAAATGGTCACATGTCAAAAGTTTGTTGTGAGGATTAAATATCATGTATGTATTTATGTATATATAACTTATTTATTACAAATCCTAGTTGACTTCATTTTATTTAAAAAAAAAATAGGAGGCACATGTAACAAAACATTAACATGTTATTTCTGGGTGGTTGATACTTGTATTTTATACTTCTCCGTATTTCTTTAAATTTTTCAAAATAAAATATTGATCCTATAAACTTTTAATACAAAGTCACACATGTAGGACATCACTTTATACGCAGGGAATCTTTATGAAATGAACTATGTGCTTTCAACAAACTCCTTAGAACAATGGTTTATAATAAAGCAGAACTGCAACAAGAACCATGGGTCAGAAATGAAAGGGATGTCAGAAATCTAACTGACTGAGTGGCTTTTCGAATTTACGTCCAGCTGGTTAATGCCAGCACCAACAGAAACACTCTGATCCTGGTTTCCTAAAATGGTATTTGGAATAAATACATGTGAAAATTTTTCTCATTTTTAAAATTTCAAAGTCCAATTTTATGGCACAACTTTACAATGCAAATTCTTGCTATTTAACTTTCTGCATACAGCTGAATAGTTTTGTTTTATGAAAATACTGACAAATTTGCCTTCATAAATTAAGTACACTGACTTCCAGATCAAGTTGTTGAAAATTTAACACAGAAAAGGCAGTTAAAGGTGCTCATCAAGGGAGTCCTTTTCATTTGGTATAAACCCAAAAGCTATGAAAATACCTTTTGTATTGGTCAGGTGTGGTGGTTCACACCTGTAATCCCAGCACTTTGGGAGGCCAAGGCAGGCAGATCACCTGAGGTGGGGAGTTCAAGACCAGCCTGACCACCATGGAGAAACCCCATCTCTGCTAAAAATACAAAATTAGCTGGGTGTGGTGGTAGATGCCAGTAATCCCAGCTACTTAGGAGGCTGAGGCAGGAGAATCACTTGAACCTGGGAGGTGGAAGTTGCAGTGAGCTGAGATCGTGCCATTGAACTCCAGCCTGGGCAACAAGAGTGAAACGGTCTCAAACCAACAAACGAAAAAAGGCCTAGCGTGGTGGCTCACACCTGTAATCCCAGCACTCTGGGAGGCCGAGGCAGGTGGATCACGAGGTCAGGAGATCTAGACCATCCTGGCCAACATAGTAAAACCCCATCTCTACTAAAATACAAAAATTAGCTGGGTGTGGTGACCTGCACCTGTAGTCCCAGCTTCTCAGGAGGCTGAGGCAGGAGAATTGCTTGAACCCGGAAGGTGGAGTTTGCAGTGAGTCGAGACAGCACTCCAGCCTGGTGACAGAACAAGCCTCTATCTCAAAAGATAAAAAAAACTTTTGTATTAAGTATGAATAGCATGCAGAAAATTAAGAATTTATTCAGTTTGAAGAGATAAATCAGTGATATAATGGAAACATTTAAAAGTTTATCTCTGGAAAATAATTCAAAATCATATATCAAAAATTATATACTTAAATATTTTAAATGCATGCTAAAGGCAGTTTATAGATTCTAAAAAAGGTTTTTAGAAAAGTCTAAACTGGGATGATCACAATCAACTTAGCACAGTGCTATCGACTAATTTTACTTTACTAATAAGAATCCGAATTTTTTAAAAAGTGATACAATTTAAGGGCACCATTTGAAATTATTTGGTATCTGATGGTATAGCATTCTATTTCCAGACACATCAGCATTCTTACAGCCGAAGGACTGGAAAATGACCAACCAGCATAGCACCCAAAAGAGTATAAACAACAATAGATACAACTCCTGAGTGTGGTTTTCCACAGCTATATGTTAACAGCACTAACAATGTCAAACAAGTTATTATGGAAACACCAGGTTTAATACCTTATAAAGGATGTATAGAAATTGAATCCTATAAGATACAGGTCAAGTCACAATGGAATTATAAATGTAATCAGATATTCTGATATAATGAAAAGGTCTAGCTAGTTTTAAAAAAATGCATGTAAACCATAAGATAGAAAGTATTTAAAAATACATAAAATTCTAACCACTGGGTTTAAACTTTGATTTTAAAAACATATATATTTACAATCTTTAAATTTCACACATTTTTTACTTTTACATGATCTTTATTATCAGGATAACGTAAGAAAAACCTCTTTTAACAATTCACATAACAGAAAAAAAATTAATAGAGAGGCTGTTAGATTGTTACATAGTAGCTAAAATATGAAAGGCCAGGGACTTTATTATTTATGTAGTCATAAAATAGACTTAACTAAAACTGTGCGCTAGGAAACAAGCAGTCTCACTTCAGAGATGTCATTGCAGGAACCCAGTTTCCTTATGTGGAAAAGAATGATTATAAATAACAGTTATCTGAAGGGTGGTTCAAAGGATTAAATGAGATCACCTATGCAAACAAATACCTGTAGGTATTAAGACATTGTCTGGGGTGTGAAGGTTTAGTTCACACCAGAACCTTCCTCTAAGGCTTAAAAACCTCAAACAGTATTTCTTTCTTAATACAAGAACCAATGTTTAAAGCATAAAATCCTTAATTGGAGTGTTCAGCCCAGTTGATTATTGAAAGCTACTTATAAAATGCTTCAATACTGATGATATTAAAGCAACCAAAACTTTGTGATGCTCACAAAGGTTTGGCTTCCTGGGTTATGGTCCAAAGTCATTTCCTTCTGAGAAGATTGCAGAGATATCAGATACTTAATTTCTCAGACAACTCAGCATCAGCCTTCTATGTTTTCTGTCTATCATAGTCTCCAACCATCTTCTTGATGTGTGACAATTTGCTCTTTAACTGCTTGCAATGATTCTTCTTATTTTTGTAATCTGCAGACTAAAAAGCAAGAAAATAAATCACATAAATTCAACAAAATAAAAGCAGGTCTGCTGGGAAGGTAGAGGTGAACAAAAAATGGAAGATTTAGTCAGAGAACTGTTGGGAGTGTTAACTGAAGTAATATACTCAAGGTGCCTGGCAGTATCACTAACAACACAGGCGGCTGATTGTTTGCTCAATCCTATCTTCTAACCTGGGTTTTTACAAAGGATACCCTTATTTCTAAAAATCTGTAAAATGACCAAGAAAACTTACGGGCCTTTTTGCTAATACATCATCTAAAACTGTAAGTAAAACAAGGAACTGGTGATCTCAGTTGACTGAGGAAAACTGAATAGGGGATAAGAGAGATGGGAAATTTTACTGTATACACTTTAAACTCTTATTTAAAATCATGATGCCTGCAATTTATAACTTTTTTGGGGGGGAAAGGGTCTCATCCTATTGCCCAGGCTGGAGTGCAGTGGTACAATTATAGCTCCCTGCAGCTCTGAACTCCTGGGTTCAAGGAATCTTTCTGCCTCAGTCTCCCTAGTAGCTAGGACTATAGGCATGTATCACAGCATCTGGATAATTTACAAAAAAGTTAATATAAAACTTTTTAAATATTTTAAGTCAATAATGACTGACATGCCAAGTGTTACCAAGGATATAGAGCAACAGGAGTCTGGGGTGGTTGGTGGGAATGTAAACTGGTACAACTACTTAGAAGGTTGTTTGACAGTATCTACTAGGCCAGGCGCGGTGGCTCAAGCCTATAATCCCAGTACTTTGGGAGGCCGAGGTGGGTGGATCACGAGGTCAAGAGATCAAGACCATCCTGGTCAACATGTTAAACCCCATCTCTACTAAAAATACAAAAATTAGCTGGGCATGGTGGCACATGCCTGTAGTCCCAGCTATTCGGGAGGCTGAGGCAGAGGAATTGCCTGAACCCAGGAGGTGGAGGTTGCAGTGAGCCGAGATCGTGCCACTGCACTCCAGCCTGGGCAACAAGAGTGAAACTCTGTCTCAAAAAAACAAAACAAAACAAGACAGTATCTACTAAAGCTGGATACACACATGCCCATCACTTCTATGTTCAAACATTTACAAATATGTTTGAAGCTGCATTTTTTTTTTTTTTTTTTTTTTTTAGTAGAGACAGGGTTTCTCCATATTGGTCAGGCTGGTCTTGAACTCCCGACCTCAGGTGATCTGCCTGCCTCGGCCTCCCAAAGTGCTGGGATTACAGGTATGAGCCACCATGTCTAGTCTGAAGCTGCAATATTTTTAAAAGCCCAAAACTGGGAACAACCCAAATGTTCACTAACAATAGAATAGATGCATAAAGTTGTGTTTTATATACAACACTACACAGCAATAAAAATCAGTGAACTGGCCAGGCGCAGTGGTTCACGCCTGTAATCCCAGCACTTTGAGAGGCCGAGGCAGGCGGATCGCTTGAGGCCAGGAATTCGAGACCTGCCTGGCCAACATGGCAAAACGTTGTCTCTACTAAAAATAAAAAATTAGCCAGGCATGGTGGTACGTGCCTATAATCCCAGCTAGGCTGAGGCAGAAGAACTGCTTGAACCCGGGAGGTGGAGGTTGCAGTGGACGGAGATCGTGCCACTGCACTCCATCTTGGGTAACAGAGCAGGACTCCATCTCAAAATAATTTTTTTTTTTTTAAATAAAGACGGGGTTTCACCATGTTGATCACGGTGGTCTTGAACTCCCGACCTCAGGTGATGCGCCCGCCTTGGCCTCCCAAGTGCTTGGATTACAGGCATGAGCCACCACGCCCAGCCTCAAAATAATATTAATAAACCATGAATGGACCATTACAAACAGTACTGAGCAAAAGAAATCACACACAAAATCATACTGTGTGGTTCCATTTATGTTATGTTCAAGATAAACAAAACTCTATCTATGATGTTAGAAGTGAGCATGGTGGACCCCTCTGGCAAGAGGGTAAACACTGGAAAGGAGTACAAGGGGTGGGGTGGGGGTGCTGAGGGTGGGAAGGCACTGGAGAAAATACATTTCTTGATCTGCACATACAGGTATGTGGTCACATTGTGAAAATTCACTATGTTATATGTTTTGATTTGTGCACTTTTCTGTATGTATACTTCAACTTTAAAAAAATATATTTAAACGCCAGGCGCGGTGGCTCACGCCTGTAATCCCAGCACTTTGGGAGGCCGAGGCAGGTGGATCACGAGGTTAAGAGATTGAGACCATCTTGATCAACATGGTGAAACCCCATCTCTACTAAAAATACAAAAAATTAGCTGGGCACAGTGTCACATGCCTGTAACCCCAGCTACTCAGGAGGCTGAGGCAGGAGAATTGCCTGAACCCAGGAGGCGGAGGTTGCAGTGAGCCGAAGTCGCGCCATTGCACTCCAGCCTGGGCAACAAGAGTGAAACTCTGTCTCAAAAAAAAATATATATATTTTTTTGATCAGCTTTTCCAGTGGTGGAAATCCCCCCACAACAACATGTCTCTCACAGAGGATCTCCTTCATCCCTCTCCAGTAGAGGAGAAAGGGAAACCCAAGCAGCAATGCCTGGTGCAGAGCCCCTACTCCTACTTCATGGGTTTAAATGCCCGGGATGTGATACAATCACCGCGGTCGTCAGCCAGGCACTAGCTGTAGTTCGTCAGCCAGGCACTTGCTTTGCCTCCTGTTCCACTGTCCTTCGCAGCCTACAGGAGGCAAAGCAAGGCTTAACAAGGATGCTCCCTAGGGAGGAAGCAACACCCAAAGTACCTGAGTCAAGATGAGTGGGAAACTATCTCAATAAACACATATTGGATTTAAAAAAATAATAAAAAGGTTTAAAAAATCAGTACTGGTTGTAGCTTTAAATAGCTGAAATTAAAGTTCCAAAACCTCAGTTATAGTTTTCATCTTTAAGGGCTTTTTATGATAATCAGTGCATATGTGACAAGGAATTAATAGACATTCTAAATGCTAGATTTAAGAAAATTTAAGAAAAATAGAAATGAGTAACACAGAAAAGTTCTTCCTCCAGATGAGTAGGTACAAGAATAAAAAGAAAGAAGAAAAGTTCTTCTAAAGAAAAATCTCCGATACTTACTCCCTTCACTTGCTTCAGTCTATTGTATTCATCAGCAGCAGTCTATTAATGAGAGACACAAAGGAATATGTTTATTGGGGCATTTTCTCTTTCAAAAGTAATATTCCTTATGTTATACTTTGAAGCTAAAAATGACAGCTGATGACAAAAATATAAGCATTTAAAAGGATGAAGTCATAAAGCTCCTAAAACTCATGATCAGCAGGAAGGTATGAAGGAATTCCGTGAAAAGACATCTATGATACTGTATCTTTCACATTTCACTCACACAGGCAGGTAACTCTCTGTTCTGCTACTTCTCATCTCTCCTTCATGCCAGTCCCCATGCTACGCTGACACCAGGAAGATCTTTTCTAACACAGAGCTCTGATCAGGTCATCTCCCACTACACAACCGGTCTGAACTTCCCATTACCTTCTCCCTTCATCCAGTGTCCTACCTTTCCAGTCTCAGCACCCATCATCAGCAACTCCTTTAAAAACTGAGACATGTTAAATGCTTCAAGATTTTGATCATGTTTCCTTATGACTGTAATCATGCACCCCTCCCCACCCTTCTGTCTGGAAAATTGTTAATAGTTCCTTCACTGTGAAGCCTTCAAAGATTTTATTTCTTCCATGAGCAGTCAGTTATACTGCTTTCTACACATGATGCAAATATGGCATTAATTATATTGTCTAAATTGTTTAGATGTCAGGGTGTTTTTGTTTTTGTTCTCTTGTTTTAGATGCCAGTTTTTTCATAAAATATGAGAGCTCTTTGGGGGTGGGAACAGGATTTTATGTCTCTAACCTCAGCATTTCCACATCATCAACGAACAATAGGTGATCAACAAATGTTTACTGAATTAAGAAAGATCTATAACACCATATAGAAACCATGAAAGAAATACAAAAGTCTAACTATATAAAGATGTGAATATGTCAAAACTAAAAAGCAGGTCACCTCAACTGAAAAATGGCAGAAAAATTTTTCAGGTATAAGTGAGATGTGCATCAAATGAGCCCTGTATTGCATCACTAGGAAGATGCAGTTAGTGCAATTTCTCTGGAGGAATTTTGCAACAGAAGTTTAAAGGTACATACCCTCTGGCTCTCAGCAATTTCACATTCTGGAATTAGTTCTAATTAGATAAGCAGGCTGGGCACCGTGGCTTACACCTGTAATTCCAGCACCTTGGGAGGCTGAGGCAGGCAATCACTTGAGTGAGGTTAGGCGCTCGAGACCAGACTGACTAACATGGTGAAACACTGTCTCTACTAAAAATATTAAAATTAGCTAGGTGTGGTGGTGCATGCCTGTAATCCCAGCTACTTGGGGGGCTATGGCAGGAGAATCGCTTGAACCCAGGAAGCGGAGGTTGCAGTGAGCCAAGATCGAGCCATTGCACCCCAGCCTCGGCAACAGAGCAAGACTCCACATTAAAAAAAAAAAAAAAAAAAAAATGGCCGGGCGCGGTGGCTCAAGCCTGTAATCCCAGCACTTTGGGAGGCGGAGGCGGATGGATCACGAGAGATCGAGACCATCCTGGTCAACATGGTGAAACCCCGTCTCTACTAAAAATACAAAGAAATTAGCTGGGCACGGTGGCACGTGCCTGTAATCCCAGCTACTCAGGAGGCTGAGGCAGGAGAATTGCCTGAACCCAGGAGGCGGAGATTGCAGTGAGCCGAGATCGCGCCATTGCACTCCAGCCTGGGTAACAAGAGCGAAACTTTGTCTCAAAAAAAAAAAAAAATTAGGCAGACAAGAGAGCAAAAACGGAGAGGTTCACCAGTATATACTGGTATTACTGGAGTAGGGGAAGACATACTTAAATATCTATCCATAGAAAATAACTCTTAAATTATGATACAACCATCAAATTGAAAATTGTTTACCTAATTCTAACACATTAAAAAACTTAAAAGTAGGTCTTTATTATTGATACAAAACAATAACTTGCTGTAGTGTAAAAAAAAAAAAAGCCAGAAATAAGCAGTGCAAGAATGTTGTTGTTTTTTTTTAAAAGATAAAACCCCACAATGATAAGAGCCCGTAAAAGGGACACAGGAAGTGACTGAAAGAGTTCCCAATGGTCAAAGTGAGAACAATTAGAGCTACAAAATAAAGCAGGCTTGGATTATAAAACAGATATCCCTGAGTCCATAAGTGACTGTTAAATAAAGGAACAAATAAACAAGAGACTAATCTCCCTCTAAAAGGTGGGGTAACTATATTAATTTCAGTATGTATACCAAATACAGTATGAAAAGGATGGATTAAAAAAAAAAAACAGTAACTTTACATGGACAAATACGGTCTCAGCCAGGTGATCAAGGGAGGAAAAAAAAAGATAACCATAAACTGCTGATTTAAAACACAGGAAGAAAGCAAATGAAACATGGAAGATGTTTTCCTAAAGAAGGTTATGTGACTCCTGCCTGGAGAGGTTGTTTTAACAGTATTTTGATGATAAGGATTTCTTGAGAGTAGGATTTAAGGTGATTTCTTTTTCGGTATACAGTTCTGTGTTGTTCAAGTTCTTTTCTACAGAAAGAATGAATTGGCTTTATACATAGAAAAGATAACAGTGCCGTTTTTTTTTTTTTTTTTTTTTTTTTTTGAGACGGAGTTTTGCTCTTGTTACCCAGGCTGGAGTGTAATGGCGCAATCTTGGCTCACCACAACCTCTGCCTCCTGGGTTCAGGCAATTCTCCTACCTCAGCCTCCTGAGTAGTTGGGATTACAGGCATGCGCCACCGTGCCCAGCTAATTTTTTGTATTTTTAGTAGAGACAGGGTTTCACCATGTTGACCAGGATGGTCTCGATCTCTTGACCTCATGATCTACCCGCCTCGGCCTCCCAAAGTGCTGGGATTACAGGCGTGAGCCACCGCACCCCGCCAACAGTGCTATTTTTTAATTTATTTTGAGATGGAGTCTCACTCTTGTCACCCAGGCTGGAGTGCAATGGCGCAATCTCAACTCACTGCAACCTCCCTCCCGGGTTCAAACAATTCTCCTGTCTCCGCCTCCTCCCCAGTAGCTGGGATTACAGGCATCTGCCACCACACCTGGCTATTTTTTGTATTTTTAGCAGAGACGAGGTTTTGTCATGTTGGCCAGGCTATTCTCGAACTCCTCACCTCAGGTGATCCACCCGCCTCGGCCTCCCAAAGTGTGGGGGATTACAGCCATGAGCCACCATGCCTGGCCTGGCTATTTTATTTTAAATAGGATAGATGTACATAGAATAGTGCTTTGTAATTCTTAACTATTACACATTAGTACAGACTTCTATTAAAAAAGAATTTCATCCAGAACCCAATCTCAACTATTCTTCAATGAACTTAGTTTGATAATTACTAGCACTTTTTAAAAAAAATAAACATTAATATAAAGGATGCTGTATATCTCCACAGATGAGATTCAATCTATATAATATACAAATATCAGGTTGAATTTACCATATACTCTTCACTTTCTTCTCGATAGTCATCCAATTCTTTATCCAAACGAGAGAGTTCTTTATTGACCTCATCAAGTTCTGATTGTAAGCTCTTGTATTCCTGTAGGCCAGTGTCAAAATTTCTCTTGTACAGTTGTCTTTGTTGATCTGAAGTGATAGGTGGATATTCCCTAAAAGGTGGGAGAGAAAAGAATTACATATATATCCTTAGCAGACATAAAATTCAACGCTCCTTCCTCAAAGATAATAAAGCTGGTGGGGTAGGGAGAATGACATTTTCTTGTTTCCTTTTTGTTTCTTATGGAGAAAGGGAGCTAGAACACAAACAAGTTCTATTAAGAATGATTATTACTGCTCATTTTTTAAAAATAACTATGCCTACATAATTTGTAGAAATAACTTTGAAAAGCATTTACAAAATTGAAGGTACAAGTCATAGAAACTCATTTATTCTCCATACACAATATCAGTAATGGACTAGTTATGTTTAAAGACATTTTTTTTTTTATAGTCTCTCTCTGTTGCCCAGGCTGGAGTGCAGTGGCGCAATCTCAGCTCACTGCAACCTCCACCTCCTGGGTTCAAGTGATTCTTGTGTCTCAGCGTCCCAAGTAGCTGGGATGACAGGTGCCAGCCACCACGCCTGGCTAAGTTTTGTATTTTAAAAGAGATGGGGTTTTACCATGTTGGCCAGCCTGGTTTCAAACTCCTGACCTCAGGTGATCCACCTGCCTCAGCCTCCCAAAGTGCTGGGATTACAGGCGTGAGCCACTGTGCCCTGCCTGTTTAAAGTCTTAAAACTGGAGTTCTGGAACACAAAGTCTGCTTTGATCACCACAGTGGTAGCACAGCTGACTGGAAGTGGCTGTTTCCTGCCACCACCCATAGTTTTCAAACTGGTTTATTTATGTTTTGGTCTTGTTTTTCCAAAGTGGAAATTGCTTATCTAGTCCTTTCATAACAAAAATAGACATTAAAAATGTACATGTATAAAAATATGTGCTCACTGTTAAAATAATCTGGCAATTCATTAAAGTATAAGGAAGAAAAACTGAAATTCTGTATCATATTTATCTCTCAATATACCAGCTACTTCTGACACAGGAAGATGATGCCATCAACACATAATCCATAGAGAAAATACTTTGAATCCTTTCACAGGGCTGGAGTTTCACAATGATGTGGAATTTCAAATTTTAGACCTAACATTCTAATACCTTCATTTTACAGAGGGGAGAAACTTAAATGATTTGATCAAAAGGGAAACAAGAATTCTGGATTTTGAAAGTTTTCAATAAAATCTTCCATGATACAAGTTAGGTGAATATTTTACAGATAGGTGGCTAAATCAGGCCAAAAACTCTTGAGGGCAGAGGGGAAGATAAAGTATCAGAATCATCAGTGAATTGAGGATCTCAAGCTATCCATGCCCCACCTATCCTTCCTCACTTTCTGAGAAGGAATGTTTTGATTACCATTCACATTGCAAATGTTTCTGATGTGGGTCTTAGTCCTCAGAATACTCAGGCATAGGAAGGCTACACCTCATATACAAATACATTTGGTGATGGTGGGTAGACCGGAAGAAAACCACCAACACACAAAGAAGCTTAACCAGAACCGTAGCCAAACACTAAATTGTTACCTCAATCGTTTACAAAACTCTTTGCCAAAGTTCTTTGGATTAAACTTTAAAAGAAACTCTGGTCTTACCATGAAAGCTTAATTTAAAAAGTAATTGCTGGCCAGGCGAGGTGGTTCAGGCCTATAATCCCAGCACTTTGGGAGGCTGCACTCCAGCCAGTGCAATAGAGCTAAACCCTGTCTCAAAAAACAAAACCGGTGTTTTGTGTGGTGTTGTTGGTTTTTTCTTTAGCACCCTTTTGTGATAAAGACTGAAGTAGAGGCTGGGCATGGTGGCTCACATCTGTAATCCCAGCACTTTGGGAGGCCAAGGTGGGTGGATCACAAGGTCAGGAGTTTGAGACCAGCCTGACCAACATGGTGAAACCTCATCTCTACTAAAAATACAAAAATTATGTGGGCGTGGTGGCTCACTCCAGTAATCCCAGCTACTCAGGAGGCTGAGGCAGGAGAATTGCCTGAACCTGGGAGGTGGAGGTTGCAGTGAGCCAAGATTGTGCCACTGCACTCCAGCCTAGACAACAGAATGAAACTCTGTCTCAAAAAAAAAAAAAAGAAAAGAAAAGAAAAACAAAAGCACCAAAGAAAGGCCTTTCAAATAAAATCTGGGTATAGAGGAACTTTGTTTTACTGATTGTAAAATTCCCAGACAGTGCTATGGTTTTCCTTTGGCATTGCTTTTTTTTTTTTTTTTTTTGAGATGGAGTTCACTCTGTTGTCACCCAGGCTGGAGTGCAATGGCATGATCTCTGCTCACTGCAACCTCTGCCTTAAGGGTTCAAGCAATTCTCCTGCCTCAGCTTCCAGAGTAGCTGGGATTACAGGTGCCTGCCACCATGCCCAGCTGATTTTTGTATTTTTAGTAGAGACAGGTTTTCACCATGTTGGCCAGGCTGGTCTCAAACTCCTGGCCTCAGGGGATTCACCCACCTTGGCCTCCCAAAGTGCTAGGATTATAGGCGTGAGCCACGCCCAGCCTCCACTTCAGTCTTTATCACAAAAGGGTGCTAAAGAAAAAACCAACAACACCACACAAAACACTGTCTCCAGTCCTGGTTGGCAAAGACTGAAATTACAGCAGTGACCTCAATTTAAGAGGCAACAACTCCAACACCTGACTGGTCACCTTTAATCATCAGAAGGTGCATGTGGCCCAGGAAAGGGAGAGCTGACTCGGTACCTGATCCAGTCCTCCTCCAGCTCATCACAGGACTCGCCGCCAGTTGTGTAGTCTGTTTCATAGTGGTCTTGCTCTGTTCTCTTTGACTTCCCTGCTCTTCCCTTTGCAGGAGTCCTTTCTGAAGGTGTCTCAAAGTTACTGCTGCTGCTGTAACGAGGCTGCCTGAAGTCATCCACAGGTGAAGTCACTGGAAGCTCCCGAACCACTTCAGGAACCCTAATAAAAACAGGCATCATTGTTGACTATGCTATAGCCACTTGCCAGTGCACTGTAATCACAGAGCACAGCAATAACAAACACCAGGAGACATCTGCATGCAGGTGTACTCACACAAGGACTTCATATGCTCAACACCGAGCAGATGCCTAGTTTCCTGCATTCAATTTGACAGCGGCTCAGGGTCCCCTAAAACACAAGTAGTAGCTTCCAATTTAAAGGGGATTAGCCATTTTTAAACCTTCTAAGTACAATGGATCTCAGATTTCACTTTAAAAGTTCAGGCTGATCTACAAGAAGCATTTACTTAACCTGTGCCAGGGACATACTCTACAAAGGCTATCAGGAAAATAATGATCATGATTATTTTATACAGGTTCTTCTAGTTCCATGGAATGCTGCGTGGGGAAGAATGTACATATGCTCTTTATAATATTAATCTTTATTTATTTATTTTTTTTGACGGAGTCTCGCTCTGTCGCCAGGCTGGAGTGCAGTGGCGTGATTGCAGTGCCATGATCTCAGCTCACTCCAACTTCTGCCTCCCAGGTTCAAGCAATTCTCCGGCCTCAGCCTTCTCCTGTGTAGCTGGGGACTACAGGTATGTGCCACCACACCCAGCTAATTTTTGTATTTTTAACAGAGACGGCGTTTCACCATGTTGGCCAGGATAGTCTCAATCTCTTGACCTCATGACCCAGCCACCTCAGCCTCCCAAAGTGCTGGGATTATAGGCGTGAGCCACCGTGCCCGGCCTATAATATTAATCTTATACTCCCATATATCAATTCTCAAGATAAAATCTTGCAGAATAAACTAAATATCTAAACTAAAAAATTGAAAAGCTTTACATTGCAATAAAGTTAAGAGTCCTTTTAGGATTCTTTTTAAAATTGCTGTTAATCCTGAAGCCAGTAGAATGAACAGAAGGGTTATTGTCACACACTTACTATTTTTTCTAATAAAATTATTTAAAGTTGCATTAGAATTGCATATTTAAATTGCTTACGTTTCAGCCACAAACATGAAAATAACCCTAACTGAGGAATAAAACACCAATGTTGAAAGTGGGAACTACTTCTGAGTAAAAGAAATGTTTCATTTTCCGATAGAAAAGGGGAAAAACAGAAATGAAAAGACCAAAGAATGACTTGCCAAGTATCAGCCTAGCTATTCTAATCAACTATTCAAAATGTCTGAAGCATTTCTTTTTGATGCCAGTTTACATAAACTATCATACTGAGCTTTATAAACTGCCAGGTTTAGTCCCTGTTCTAAGTGAGCTACACATGCTTTTGCTCTGTTGTCGGAGTCTTAGATTTCTAAGCACAAAATTTCTTGTAGACTCTTTGGGGTATATGTGTGTAGATGCAGATGAGAGTGGTATTTATTTCTTCTTTGAAGATTTATGGCCAGGGGCAGTAGCTCACACCTGTAATCCAGCACTTTGGGAGGCCAAGGTAGGCAGATCACTTGAAGCCAGTAGTTCAAGACCAGCCTGGCCAACATGGCGGAAACGTGTCTTTACAAAAAATATAAAAATTAGCCATGCATTGTGGCAGTCATCTTTAATCCCTGCTACCTGAAAGGCTGAGGCAGGAGAATCGCTTGAACTCAGGAGGCAGAGGTTGCAGTGAGCTGAGATCATACCAGCCTGGGTGACAGAATGAGATTCTGTCACGAAAAAAAAAAATTTTTATTCAGGTAATATGGCTTTGTGTGCTATGCTAATGTTACTTCTAATGGAGGGAAAATGTGACTTTCTCCATGAGTCAATGATTAACAAGTTCCAAGACACTCTGCCAAAACTGCCAGGTACTATGCTTCTTCTTTGAGGGAGCAAAACAAAACATTTAGAATGCAGTGGATCTATTTTAGGGGTGGGGCCAAAGAGAGAGGAAACTAAAGGGCAAAATAAATTAGAAAAAAAACATAAAACAAAAAGTAAAACATCAAAAGCAGGCCTCCTGCCAGAATTTTTATGACACTGATATATATCTTTACCTTGGAAGTTGTCCTCCCCTCCTCCTACACTCTTTAAAATATTAGCATACTTGATCTAGCATGAAAGCTAAAAGCAAAATGTTTCACAAGAAAAGTACTGACTACAAGTGTGAGCAACACCACGCTGGGCTAATTTTTAATTTTTTTGTAGAGACAGGGTCTCACTATGTTGCCCAGCCTGGGCTATCCACATTTCCCTAGCTGCATTATCTTTTCAGTCTAGCATTAAGTTCCCTTTCCCAAAGCTTATATAAGCAAAAACATTCTGATTGGCCCTTTTCGGGTCACCATCATCCTTGAAGCCAGGAGAATGTTCTCTGATAAGCAAGACTTAGATATGCCTCCCAATAATGATGGCAGCTCTAAAATACAGTGTGTATAACAAACATCACTCTAACAGTCATGGCACTGGATGTTGATCATGGATTGTTTCTCTCCCTTCACTGACTCTGTGTATAATAAGAAAAGGATTCTTATGAATGTTTTCAATTCAGTAAATATCCTGCACACCTAACATGCGTAGAGTACTGAGCCAGGTGACCATGGGAAGACCAGGTCCATGTTCTCATGGAGGCCACAAAATAGGGGTGGAGAAAGTGCACAACAACTACACTGAGAGTCAGGGCAAGGTAGGGGCAACAAAGGCAGCATGAAGGAGTGTGTGTGAGAATAAAACAAATGAATGAATGAAAAGAACAAGCCGGCTGGGTGGGGTAGCTCACACCTGTAATCCCAGCACTTTGGGAGGCCAAGGCAGGGGGATCACTTGAGATTAGGAGTTTGAGACCAGCCTGGCTAACATGGTCAAAACCCTGTCTCTACTAAAAATACAAAAACTAGCCGGGTGTGGTGGTGAATGGCTGTGATCCCAGCTACTCGGGAGGCTGAGGTGGGAGGATTGCTTGAACCTGGGAGGTAGAGGTTACAGTAAGCCAAGATGGCACCAATGTACTCCAGCCTGTATGACAGAGCTAGACTGCATTTCAAAAAAACAAAAAACAGAAACAAGCCAGGCGTGGTTGCATGCACCTGTAGTACTAGCTACTCAGGAGGCTGAGGCAGAAGGATTACTTGAGCGAAGGAGTTTGAGGATTTAGTGAGCTACGATCACACCACAGCACTCCAGCCTGAGTGAAACAGTGAGACCCTGTCTCTAAAAAGTTAAAAAAAAAAAAAAACAGGTGGCTATTCTGCCACAACAGAAGCTGAACTGAGAATAAAGTCAAAAAATCAACAGATGAAAGAGAGCATAGAGCCCTGCCATCTTCTGAATCCCTTGATTATGTCATGCCTGAAGCTAGAGGCATTCTTGGGCCTCAGATAATTCCTCCTTTTTCCCTTTTTTCCATGATTTTTTTTTAAATTGAGACAGGGTCTCCCTATGTTGCTCAGGCTGGTCTTGAACTCCTAGCCTCAAGCAATCCTCACACCTCATTGGCTTCCCAAACTGCTGGGATTATCAGCTTGAACAACATCCCCAGCCGTAAACTAGTGTAAACTGGATTTCTATAATTCCTCTAACTTGGATAAAAGTCCTAATATCATCCTACCAGCCTATTACTACCAAACAATGATCTCATTTGACACTGCAAGGAGTCAGCCTGCTTTGAAAGCTTTGCACTGCAGCAACATTCAACTTTCTTGATTTATGAAGGGTAATTCAACCTGGGTATGGTCAGGATAGTGGGGAGTGTACCTAATAGGGCTCTCCCAAGTTCATTTGGTAAGTTTGGAGAGACACATCTGCAGCTAAATTCTGGAGTCCCCAATGCAGGATTAATTCTCCAAACTGACTACCTTAAAATTCTAAGGTATAGGACATTATAAGCAAAAGGAGCCAGATATGAGAGTAAATTGCATGATTCCATTTTATATCAAGTCCAATAACAATACATAAACAGATGATGACAGACATCAAAACAGCAGTTACCTCGGGGTGGGTACTGATGGAGAAAGGGCCCATGCGGACCTTATGTGGGGCTCAAAATGTCTTTATCTTGATGGTGGGAGTTAAGTGTTCATATCTGGGAAAACTCATCAAGCTGCATACTCAACATTAGTGCTCTTTTTGTGGAATGTACATTATGCTATGGGAGAAAAATAACATCTTAATGCTGAGTTACCTCATCCTTAGCATGGATGGATGGACACAATGTTCTCCATCCAATTCCTTCTCTATCCACTAGAGTGGTGAGGAACAGAGGTGCTCATGGGTTACTAAGCACCTGCAAGAATGCTTTAGGAAAGATAGACTATGACTTATGAGTTCCTATTCCCATTGAGGTAGATGCCCTTTGAATCCTCTATAACACTGGGTACTCTACTACGAACTGCACTTTACAATTTTTTTCCCACAGTTTAATTGCTCTATGTATTTATTATTAGCTATTATTAATGCAGAACAAGAGGACAAAAAGTTCACAAATACTCGACACAATTTCAGAAGATGCACTTCAGGGGAGAGAGAGACTGAGATGGATCAACAGTATGCTAGGGTCTTGGTGGACGCATTCCTGGAGGACGTGGACCTCTAATGCCTGGTGGAGGGGGTCTCATTCCCAGAGGGGGCATACCTATTGGCGTCCCTTGAGCAGGGGGAAGCCCAATTGGTGGGCCCATGGGTGGTCTCATACCAGATGGGAGAGCCATAATGCCTGGAGGTGGGGTTGCTCTCCCAGGTGGGGCGGAGTCCCCCGTCCTGGTGGGTACTGTGTTGGGGCTCCAGCAATGCTGGCAGTCGCAGCAACAGCAGCAGCTGCTACAGTGCCTCTTCCCTGTGGAGTCACTACCTGCTGGGATGGGCCCCCAACTCCTCGGACAGGGTCTGTTAATCCAGCAGGGCCCTAGGGACTTGGCACACCAGCTGGTACTCCTCTACCAGCTGCCCTACCAACCCCAGGGCCTCCTGCAGCTCCAGCAAGTGGTACCCAAGCAATGCCAGTATCTTTGGGGGGGTGGCCCCTCCACAGTCATGGATACCAAGTTCTCCTCAGGTAGCAACACCAGACCCCAAACCCGCTTTTCTTTAAGCTCTGGTTGCTTTGCATTCTTTGGCTTGATCTTTCTGAACTCATCACAATCACAGAGGATCAAATTCATATGCTTGTCAAAAGCCTTAAAGATGAAGATCTGGCCATCTTGTAGGATGCATCTCATTCTATAGTCAATGTGCTGCAGCATCTTGCTACTCTTGCCCACAGTCATGATTGCTGTTCCACCAAATCCAATGTCCACAGTTAAAACTTGATGCTTCTGAAGACCTAGGGGAAGGCTCTAGATTAAAGGTATGATGCAGGTTCTCCTAGAAACAATGCAAGCTGGCCAGAAGCTTCAAAGAGAAGATGGAGCCTGGTTTTTGCTTGGAATCAGATTCCTCGCTATTCCAATATGGCTTTAACCACCTCTTGGTGTCTCAGCTAAGAATGCCTGCCTCAGTTCAGCCTGGAAATCCACCACAGGTACTTGCTGCTGCTGAAAATGCCTTGGGTACAACTGACACTCTTGGTTGCTCAGTGAGGCAGTCCTTCTGCATTTGACTTGGACCTCCACCTCTGGTAGACCGTCTCAGGGGTAAGTGATCCCTGGCTCACTCCATCACGTCACTGACCGCTCCTCAAACCAAAATGTCAGACATCTCCGACGGCCGCTCCACTGTGCAAGACTCACTGCACAGCTCTTTTACTTTTATTTTAAAGATTAAGTCTCGCTCTGTCACCCAGGCAGATTGTACAGATTGTACAGTGGTACAATCTCCATTCACTGCAACCTCTGCCTCCTGAGTTCAAGCAATTCTCCTGCCTCAGCCTCCCAAGTAACTGAGATTACAGGCACATGCTGCCACATCTACCTAATTTTTTTGTATTTTAGGAGAGATAGGGTTTCATCATTTTACCCAGGCTGGTCTCGAACTCCTGAGCTCAGGCAATCCACCCACCTCAGCCTTCCAAAGTGCTCAGATTGCAGGTGTGAGCCAAAACCCTTCCATCATTACCATGCTCTGGGGAAAATATTGTTCATTTATTGGGGAAAAGTGTGCATCATATAGGATGAATATGTTAAGTATACCAGCGTGCACAGTGGCTCATGGGCTCACACCTGTAATCCCAGCACTTTGGGAGGCCGAGGCAGGCAGATTATCTAAGGTCAGGAGTTAGAGACCAGCCTGGCCAACATGGCAAAACTCCCTCTCTAGTAAAAATTACCTGGGTGTGGTGGTGGGCACCTGTAATCCCAGCTACTCAGGAGGCTAAGGCAGGAGAATCACTTGAACCTGGGAGGTAGAGGTTGCAGTGAGCCGAGATTGAGCCATTGCACTCCAGTCTTGGTGACAAAGCGAGACTCCACCTCAATCAACCAATCCATCATCATGTATAGCTATTTAATAGACTATTATAAAGCCATAAAATAGAATAGTGCTTCTTCTTGGTTATAATTAAAAAAAAACAAACAAACAGAATCAGTCGACTCATTGCATAGTGATATGGACAATACCCAAGATAAAATATATTGCTAATAATACATTTGATATGATAGTATTTTTTCTTTTTTTTTTTGAAACAGGGCCTTGTTCTGTCACCCAGACTGAAGTAGAGTGGCACAGTCTTGGCTCACTGCAGCCTCGACCACCTGGGCTCAATCAATCCTCCCACCTTCGTCCCAAGTAGCTAGGACTAGAGGCATGTGTTACAATGCCTGGCTAATCTTTATATTTTTTGCAGAGAGGGGATTTAGCAATAATGCCCAGGGTATTCCTGAACTCCTGGGCTCAAGCAATCCACCCACCTCAGCCTCTCAAAGTGCTGCAATTACAGGCATGAGCCACTGTGCCCAGCTCTGGTATGCTAGTATTTTAAAGGGGCGGGGGGGAGAAAACAATGTACTTTGGCCAATATCTTTATTGTTTTTAATCTCTGGAGAAATATAAAAGAAAGTGATGACATTAGTTGCCTCTAGGGAGAGGAACTAGGTAGCTGGTACCTTTTGTCCCTTTTAAATTTTATACTATATAAAGTATTCATTTCAAGACTAAAATTAATCCTCATTAAGGAATAAGATTTTCAAATTAATTTTTGAAACCATCCTGGTTTTCATGAAAAGAAACAACACCAGAAAATGTTGTGGAACCATACAGGCCTTACAATTTAGAGGCACAGCTGGTGACAAGATATACTATAGAGAGATATTTTGCATGTATGAAAGTTCTGCAGATTGGCCCTTTTATAGTTCGTGGGCGTGATGATTGGGTGTTCACACACATGTGTGAAATGTGCCACCCTCAAATCTTGTTACAATATTTGCACATTACCTGTCTGACATGAAAAAGAAGAGAAAAAAAACGTCCTGCAAATCATAACTTAAAACTTTTAAAGGCTGAGGCAGGAAGATCACTTAAGGCCAGGAGTGGAGTTCGAGACTATCCTGGGCAACAAAGCAAGAACTCCTTCTCTACAAAAATAAAAAATTAGCCAGGCATAGTGGCACACACCTGTGGACCTGGCTAAAGTGAGCTATGAGGCAAGAGGACTGCTTGAGCCCAGGAGTTCAAGGTCACAGTGAGATGTGATCACACCAGTGAACTGTAGGTCCGGGCGACAGAGTGAAATCGTGTCTCAAACAAATTATGGGAAAAAAAAAAAACTTTATAAGGATTGCATCTCTCTTGTGTACCCTTTTCCCTAACAGTCTCACGTGCTTTAATTTTTGTCAAAATCCAAAGAGAAGAAAGAACAGAGAAAATGTGCTTTCTTGCCAGGTGCAGTGGCTCATACCTGTAATCCTAGCACTTTGGGAGGCCAACAAAGGTGGGTGGTCAAGGGATCAAGACCATCCTGGCCAACATGGTAAAACCCCGTCCCTACTAAAAAAAAAAAAAAAAAAAAAAAAAAAAAATCTGGGTGTGGTGGCATTTGCCTGTAGTCCTAGCTACTCAGGAGGATGAGGCAGGAGAATCACTTGAACCCAGGAGGCAGATGTTGCAGTGAGCTGAGAGCACACCACCGCACTCCAGCCTGGTGACAGAGCAAGACTCTGTCTCAAAAAAAGAAAAACAAAGTGCTTTCTCCAAATCATTCACAATTGAAATCAATAGCAAGATCAAGTCTGAATACCAAAACAAAACATATAAGAGTTTGAGGAGTAGTCAGACTGCCAGTCTTTTCTCAAATTCCATCCCAGTGTAACAATAAAGGCTATTGTCTTCAAATTAATTCTGTAATTAACTCAGCAGCTGGTGTCATCTTATGGGTTTCCAGGCTCAAACTACTATGCACCCAGAGTAAATCTCATATACCATGGCCCACTAATCAGGAGTCAGGCATTGGGGATAAAACTTGGAAGTAGGCTGGTGCAGTGGCTCATGCCTGTAATCCCAGCACTTTGGGAGGCTGAGGCGAGTGAAAGCAGGGGGATCACTCGAGGTCAGGAGTCGAAGAACAGGCTGGTGGCCGGACCGTGGTGGCACATGCCTGTAATCCCAGCACTTTGGGAAGCTGAGGCAGGCAGATCACTTGAGCCCAGGAGTTCAAGAGTAGCCTGGGCAACACAACGTGATCCTATCTCTATGAAAAAATAGAAAAACATTAGCTGGACATGGTGCACAGCTACTTAGGGGACTAAAGTAGGAGGATTGCTTGACCCCAGGAGGTCAAGGCCACAGTGAGCTATGATCACACGACTGCACTCCAGCCTGGGTGACAGATTAGAGACCACGTCTCTACGGAAAAAAAAAAAAAAAATGCTTATAGAATAAGGAAACTATTTCTCTATGTCTATACAATGCAGGTGTGGTTTGTCTGTTGTTGTAGTTTTAAGTCTCACTATATTACCCAGGCTGGATTTGCGCTCCTGGACTCAAGTGATCCCTCCTACCTCAGCCTCCCAATGAGCTGGGACTACTGGTGTGCACCACTGTGCCAGGCTCTGTGATTGTGTTTTATTTTGTTGTTGTTGTGTGTTTTGGTTTTTTTTTAATACAGAGTTTCACTCTGTAACCGAGGCTGGAATACAGTGGTGCGATCTCAGCTCATTGCAACCTCCGCCTCCCAGGGTCAAGTGATTCTCCTGCCTCAGCCTCTCAAGTAGCCAGGATTATAGGTGTGTACTACTATGCCCAGCTAATTTTTGTATTTTTAGTAGAGACGGGGTTTCGCCATGTTGGCCAGGCTGGTCTTGAACTCCTGACCTCAGGTGATCCACCCACCTCGGCCTCCCCAAGTATGGGGATTAAGCAGAAATGGCAAAAACACATTCCTAGGGTGAAAGAATCCAACCCAGTCTTTCCATTAAACAAGCAAGTGAAAAGAAGCATTTTCAACTTAGAAGGGAAAGAGATCTTCCAAGTAGCCAGAGGCCTCTCTACCAACAAAGCAAAGATTAAGGGCGTAAGCCACTGCACCCAGCCATGTGATTGTGTTTTAAGAGTCTAAAAAATTAAAGTTATAGAAAGCTAAGATTTATTATTGAAGAAAGAAAAATGTTGAGTAAATTGAAAGTGTACAGTAATGTAGTTCACATTCACTCACCACTCACTCCCTTACTTACCCAGAGCAACTTCCTGTCCTGCAAGCTCGGACCCTTTTTTTATCTTTTACATTTTCTGTACCTGTTCTGTGTTGAGATATACTAATACTTACCACTGTATTACAAATGTCTAGAGTATTCAGTACATTAACATGCTGTCCATATTTGCAGTGTAGAAGCAAGAAGCTATACTGTGTAGCCTAGGCTTGTAGTAGGCTATCCATCCAGGTTTGTGTTAAGTACACTGTGATGTTCACACAAGGATGAAATGCCTAAAGACACACTTCTCAGTATCCCCATCATTAAACAGTGCATGACTGTATATGTAAAAATACCAACTTTATCATCCTTAAGCAAAAATTAAATCCCTGTCCATGCCAATTATCTCCAATATTCTTCTCTCACTAGTCATTAGGTGGAATTAAAATTGGGCTTTAGGGTAAGTGTTTCCACCAGAGACACCACTTCAATAATCACATGGCACCTACCCTAGGCCAGATGCTCACTGAGGTTTCACATCTCCCAGCAATACCGAGGACCTAGCACAGCAAATGAAATACCACAATTCCTGGATTCAAATGAAGTCTTCTAGTTTAATAGAAATGCACATGGACAAGGTTGATTAATGTGCAATGTCCTCCTTCTGTTTATGAGATCCAACAATTACAGGCAAAAGAAGAGGTTGAGCACAGTACTGACCTCTGCTCAGTAACTTCCTTTCACCCTCACCTAAACTTCAAAACCAGAAACAGCAGAACCACATTCCCAGAGTGAAAGAACCCAACCCCGCCTTTCAATTAAACAAGCAAGTGAAAGGCATTTTCAACTTAGAAAGGAAAGAGAACCCCACCCTCCTCATCTCCCTCTTCCAAGTAGCCTAAGACCACTCTATCAACAAAGCAAAGACTGTTTTAATACCAAGATCCAGATCCAGTTTTTGTGGGCACTGCCGGATACTTTTTTTTCTTTTTCTTTAGTTTCCCACTGCATTTCTAGAGGATGCTGGATTTTTTCTTATGGATAAAGGCACAAAACAACAAAAATCAATCATGTGCAAATACTCATTTTTACACTCAGTCTATCAAACTAAAAGAGTTGCTACTTACGGTGTGGATTTATAGGAAGACTCTGGATAAAATCGCTTGTCGTTCACTTTGCCATTGGAAGAGTATGCATTGGGACTGTCAACTCTTTCCACATAGTCAGATGGGGGTGGAGGCATGTCCTCTGTGCCTGCAGACACATTTTTAACCTTAAAAAAAACCCCAAGAGATAGTTATTATTTATCTTGTAATGAAAAGGGAAAAGACATTGAAGAAAATTATCTTATATACATGATCTAATATTTATGTGGCTTGTTAAATGTTATTAACACTAATAATAAAAAGGAAATCAATACAGGTTAATAGTCAAATCCATTTTTTAATAGACATATAAACAGTGCTACTGCTAAATAAGTATGAAAAAAAATCTGATCACCTAATTCTCATCCTAATGTGATTTAGGTTGAATAATTAACTATGGCAATTTTCCACCTCCATATTAGGAAGACTGGTCTCATTACCTCATGCCCACATTAGAAAGACCAGTCTCATTTAACCTGAGCTAGGTCTGGGTTAGAATTTTCATTTCTGACAAGCTCTCAGGTAGTGCTAATGTTGCTGTCTGGGCACCACACCTGGAAAAGCACTAATCTAGAACAAAGCACACTGGTGGTTCTTAATCCATTCATCTCTAAACGGGGAATGTTAAAACCACAGAAGAAATTAAGATGCTCAAGCTGACTTCTGCTCTTTTAATAAGAGATTTGTTTATTCTCCCTTAATGTATGTTCTCAATGGCTCTATTATTAATAGCCTACACAATGTATCACACAACATTAGTGCCTTCCCTTTTCACTTTCCTTATTTCATGCTGATGTGTAAGTGAATTCATCCTACAGAAGTAACATGCATTAGAAACTATGTAAAATACATATATAGATACTTCTTATCTGAGGAATGCAAGCCCTTTCTTAAAGCTTATCAGGCCAGAGAGGCATTAAAATGAAACAGCAAACAAGTCCTACTTCCCCTCTGAGCTATGTAGTTATCTCCAGAAACTGCTTAACCTAACAATGCTACCCTGCTATAGCTCAACAACCTATCAACATTATTTCCATAAATCAGTGATAATTCTTGATGAACAACTTTGTTTCTGCCCTCTCCTTGTCCCCTTTTTTGCCTTTAAAAACTTGCTTATAAAAAAGGCAGAATGGAGCACTCCCCAAGGCAGCTTGGAAGCATGTCCCAGGCAGCTGTTCTCAACCTTGACCCAAATACATTCTCTATATTAATTTTGCCTCAGCTTCTTCCATTAGGTCAACATTAACATGGAAGGCTTACCACAGAATCTTTGGGAGAAAAAATTTAAGTATAAAAAGCACAGCCAATTAGACTCCAAACACTGTTAGATTTTATGTAACAGTTCCAACACTCTAAATTTCACCTAATAGTCTTTAAATTATTACCTATGACTCTGAAATTCTTAAAAAAAAAAAAAAAAACAAAGACCTCCAACAAGTGCTAACCCTAGATGAATCACTTAGCTATTTTAAAGCAAAGGAACAGAAATAAAGTGTGGGAAAAAAATAAAAATAAATCTACAAATTATTTATGTGAAAAAGAGCGGCTATTCAAAAGGGTTGAACCACTTTAGCTTGGTGATAAGATCAGTGGCATTTTAGCCAGGTGAGGTACATGTGCCTGTAATGCCAGCTACTCGGGAGGCTGTGGGAAGATCTCTTGAGCCTGAGAGGTGGAGGCTGCAATGAGCTGTGACTGTGCCACTGCACTCCAGCCTGGGTAACAGAATGAGACCCTGCCTCAAACACACACACACACACACACACACACACACACACACACCCAATGGCAATGGCATCAGATTATCTGGGCTCACCCCAGGTCTGCCAACCACAAATTCTATAAAGCCTCAGTTTTCATCTGGAAAAAAAAAAAAAAAAAAGGAGAAAACTACCTACTACATAAAATTATTTTGATTATTAAATGAGATGACCACATATCACATTTACCACAGTGCCTTTAAACACAGTAAAAAGGCAAAAGATGCTGGATTTTAGAATAAAGGCCCCTGGATCTGATCAAATCATTTTTACAAGAATTTGGAAGTGACAGAAGACCTTTATTTGAATTATTCTGCTATTATAAAGCCTTACAATTAGGTTCAGCATCAATACAGTGTATCTTTCTGCAATACACATTCCTTACATCTTCAAGTTTTTAAAACATGAGATGGGCTCTCTTGACTTATCCAGGCAGTATCACATACAGAAAGATATTTACCTACCCGTTAAAGGACATTAGGGTATTCTTGATTGTTTAACATTTAGAGTCAGAAAGGAACAGAATCATTTCCCTCTGGAAGTGGAATTTGGCAGCAACTTCGAAACCAGTGGGTGGGTTGCCACGGAGTGTGCTCAGATCCCACCACAGCGGGGAGGGTAGGGGAGCCCTCCTGGTTCCCACAGAATTCCTTATAACAAAAGCTTACAAAAGAAGTTGCCAAGCTTCACAGGCAAATGCTTCACCAAACCAAAGACCTATTCTTAATCCAATATCTCATCAGAATTTAAAAATCCTTCCTTTGCTTAAAAACCCATTTTATAGTCGAAGATGACTGCCAAAATACAAATTTTAAAAAATGAAAACCCATTTTATACTTCTCTAGGCCCCACCCCCTTTCCTCCAGCATGAGCTTTGGCAGAGTCTGAGTATAAGAGTCAGAGATTTCTCACTGGCTAGAACGCCCTTTCCCTTTTGCCAGCCATTCTTTATTTGGGCTTCAATTCCAGGTTCAAGTGCCACCACCTCCTCCTTGAAGCCTTCCATACAAGGCCCTCCTGGAGGAGGCACCAACCCGTGCTATCTCTCCACACCTGTGCATACAAACCTTCCACCAGATCACTTACGCACTGCTGAACAAGTGCTTACTTACAGTACAATGGCTTGTTCACCTATCTCACTTCAGTCGGCAGTGGACGGCTTAAGCTACCACTATCTGACTGCTTACAATGAGTGAAATATTGAAGTGACAGATCATTTAGTAGGCATGGCTTTACAGGCAAATATTCTTCCTTTTTCAGAAATGAGGAAGCTGTGGCTCAAAGGGTTAGACAACTTTCCTAAGAAACTAGAAGTAGAAAATGGAAGGGCGGGCATTCCTTGCTTTCCTCTTTGAGTCTCCAAAGGCCCACACAGTGTCTGGCACAAATCAGGAGCCCCAAGTTTGCTACATAAATGTAGAAAAATACATTTGTTCTATTCCTACATTATATACCCAAGTATCTTATCAGTGAGGCACACTGAGCTGACCTTTATCTCTTAGTGTCAGCAGAACTGGACTATCTTGACCACTGACTCCACCCTCCAGCACAGATCTTTGATTACTTAAACCTTTTCTATACGCATGCATAATAAATTCCAAGGCAGTGCTCCTTTGCATCACATATACTAAAGTTGAACAATACAGAAAAGATTATCATGGCCCTCGCACAAGGATGGCACCAAATTCACGGAACATTATATACACATATATTTTAAATCCTGAGCCAGCTATGATGGCAGACTCAAAGAATAAGTAGCAACCTTTTTCCTCAAAAGGAGCTTAGAGTCTAGAGGCAAAGGGAAAATATATTTAAAAACAAGGAGTAAGATCAGTTTTTTTTTTCTCTTTATGCTTCAACTTGCCTGAAAAAAGGCTAAAATATTTTTTCCTCTAATCCACTTCATGATGCCAATGAAAAGTAAGTATAAACCCATTATCTGCAGCTTTTGCAGGACAGTAGGAAAGTAGAATGGGGGTTGGGGGCAATAAAAAGTGAACAGGTGCTTGTTTCTATAAGGAGTCTCCAACCTGTATTTCCCATTATTATAAGAAAGGACTTCTGAATTTCACTGTTATTACTGATTTGATCCCCAGTCAGCTCATCAAACTCAATGATGTAGTTAAAGTTACCTTTAAAAAGATTTTTTTTTAAGACAGGGTTTCACCATGTTGGTCAGGCTGGTCTTGAACTCCCGACCTCAGGTGATCCGCCCACCTTGGCCTCCAAAGTGCTTGGATTACAGGCGTGAGCCACCATGCCCGGTCAAAAAAGATTGAGAACTTGAGAAAACCAACTAGGCATAAATCTTAACAGCAAAATGTCTTTGTGACAATTTTCCCTTAGGGATATCCCCTTAACTTGAGGATATCTCTAAGAAATCAGGGGCAGAAGAAAGCAGGATGAAAATACAAAATAAAGATTTGTCTAGGTTGGGTAATCCCAGCACTGTGGGAGGCCAAGGCAGGAGGGATCACCCGAAGTCAGGAGTTCTAGACCAGCCTGGCCAACATGGTGAAACCCCATCTCTAATGAAAACACAAAAATTAGCCAGACATGGTGACACACGCCTGTAATCCCAGCTACTCTGGAGGCTGAGGCAGGAGAATTGCTTGAACCTGGGAGACAGAGGTTACAATGAGCCGAGATCCACCACTGCACTGCACACTGGACATGCTTAAGGAGTATGAATTATTAATTTAGGGGATATGCAGGGAAGTTTTAAGATTCTTATTCTAATCAAGAAAGAATTTAAGGTGTTTCCAAAATATCAAAATAAAATATAATATCAAAAGATCTTCACAAGAGGTAATTATGATGAGGATAAATTTTTATTCCAAGTTTAATTGTACTCATTAGAAGTGTTTAGATTATGTCGCTTGTGAAAAAAAATCTTTGAGACAAATAACACCTAACACTCCTTGGAGAGTTAATGAAAACATCCTAAACCCCTGTGGGATGCCAAAAGGAAAACAAAGAGGGCAGATCTCCTTTAGAGCATCTCAGGTGCTCTTCTCCAAATACCTGCCATGATTCTTCCTCATCTGAAACTAAGATGGGTCTACACCATCATGTTGGTCCCACCTGAAGTCAGAGAAGAAGTAAAAAGGCCAAGAATGAATGTTCTAGGTTACTATTAAAGAAAATCTTCTCTCCTCCAAAACAAAGATTGGGAAAAACACTTATCCCCACTTAAATCAATTTCATATTTCATTTTGAGTTAGTAAAAGCAAAAAATTGCAATGATAGCTAATCTTCCTTTTTCTCCTCACCCTAATTTCATCCCTAGTTCACACATGGAAGAGTCGGGCAAAGCCTGAATCCATGTGGTCTAGCAATGTGACAAAAGCCATCTACCTCTACGAAAGAAAAGGAAGTTCACCTGTTGCTTATTTAGTACTGTGCCAGGCAAACCTGACTTTGTTTATTCTCACCACCATCCAGTGAGATGCAATTATCTCTATTTTCAGATGAGGAAATTGAGCCTCCACGGTTAAATTAACTTGCTCTAAGTCACAGAGAAGTAAAGTAGCAGAGGGAAGATTTGAACTCTGGTCCACGTAGCTCCAAAGCCCAGCTCTTCCTGGCATAACAAACTGCCACCTCAAGAATTCAAACATGGCTTGGGGTACCCATCTTGGCTGGGTATTTTGACCAGTCTTTGTAAAAAAGGAGACCATTCTCATTTCCTTCAACTCCTCACCATTTTGAAGAGTTTTATTTGCTTATTAGTTTAACTTCGTAAGAGCAGCTATTGATGCAAAATTATTATGAGTACGTTTCAGTCACCAGGTGCCTTTGTTTAGGTCAGCATTTAGGAACACCTCCCTCAAAAGGGAAAGAGTATGGTTTTCCCAGCTGGGTGATTAAAGTGGAGAAATACCTCAGGCATCAGAGGGAGGAGCATCTTAATCTCAAGGATCATCTCCAGCTTTACAATCTGCCCATTCCACCCTCCATTAGCCCTATGCCCTTGGACTGCAGGTTCTCAACAGTAAGTGGTCCAACTCGTTTTTCCTGTTTTCTATATTTTATACCCTCAGATACTCCCCCCAGTAAAAGCTTCAAAATTGACTCTGGAAAGTTCTCTTAGACTTTTCTCCACCTTTGGTCACTTGAAGGCAGATGGTTCCGTATCTACTAATCTCACAAAGAGATTGTGGACCAGGTTTGAACAAGTCTGGTTGTTTTACCTTGCTGAGATGGCACTCAGGATTTAGAAAACAAACAGCCTCCTACCCAAGTGCACACTGTCCAGAGAAATAGTAATAATATAGACCAATGAGAACTATAAAATCCTAAGCCCCCAACAGAGAAGCCTCCCTTTTGGCCAAGAGTACCCCAGAGATATCTTAACTGAGCTACCTGGCCATGACAGAATTCGAGGTCAGACACAACTCATTTACTCTCTCCCTTTTGTGGTTTAGACACAACTGACCAGCATTATTGTTAACACAGAGATCATTAAGATTGACAGAAATAGACCCTTAGTGGCAATAAAACACCAAATTATAAACAAGACCTAAGGTCATGCCAGGCAAGGGTTAAATCACACACTTCATTTGTTCTAATCATACACTGTGTTCTCACCACCGTAAGGTTTCTCTTTTTTTTCCAGCAGCCAAACAAGCACTGGCCTCAAGATAAGCAAGATTAAAGCAACTGCACATGCCTACTATGTACCCACAAAAACTAGCAACTCACAGAAAAGAAAACGGCAGCTCATCCACCAACAGACACTGACTAACCGACCCGTTCTACAAGCCATACAGCTTTGACTGGTCAAGAGACTGATTTCAGTAACCTTCTCCTGATAAGAGACAAGCAGCTGTGGACTGGTTCTGGCCAGCCTGCAGAGGCTGCATGTGTGTGCCTTGTGTTCCTGCTTCACCTTTTGATGTATAGGGCCTAACTGTAATACATTTAAATGTTAAGTCCCCACCCCAAAGCAAACAGGAGGGAGGCATGTAACATGAATGTTTGTTCGCTGCGCATGCATCAGGATCCCTTTTGTGAATATTCATAGCTTCTCCTCCTGTAACCTGTTGAATAGGAATGTGCAGCCAACCTGCTTAGCATTAAGCTCTTGTCCCAACTCCTTCTCCTTCTAAGTGCCTTTCAGTCTCTGCCAGAAGCTAGGCTTCCAAGCCTGTCAAGGATGGCTACCTTGCAGGTTGTAGGCCTTTACAAGAAATAAAGGCTCCTTTCTACTTTTTTTCTTTCACAGCTAGAGATCCTTTCTAAATTTATAATTGTGTCATCTTTAGGTTGACACCAGCAAAGGTAAATTCTGAAATTCTGTAAGAGTCAATGAATTCTTAGAGCTTTGGAAGGGGATGAGGTAGAAAAACCTTGTACTCAGTGAGTGAGGCTTATCAGTGATCTCATTCAAGGCCCCTTAAACGAAAATCCCTATGAAGACTGTTAGTTTAATATACCTGTACCTCATGCCAGTTTCTCAACAGGTGAGCCAGGGGGCATGAAAGTTCTTTGGCACCCCAGCCTGTGAGCCAGTTATCATCTGCAGTTCCAGATCCCCCTCAATTTACTCCAGTATCTTGTACTAAGTTATCATTCTCCAAGTATGTCATGATGTAATAATAACTCGCTTGCAGTTTAATGGCTGCAGCTTAAATCTATAAAACAGTGGTTCTCAAAATACGATCCCCAGACCAGCTACATTAATATTACCAACATAGGCCCCACCCAGACCTAGTGCATCATAAACTCCAGGGTGGGAGTGAGTGGGCTGTTTCAATGAACCCTCCAGGTGATTCTGATGCTTTCCCAAAAGTTTGAGAACCACTGATGTAGATACAATTCTCTCCTACGTTGCAGACCACTTGTACCTTATAAAGACCTACAAGTGAAGGGTCCTTTGCCTGCAGTGGTGTACAAACTTGGCAATGCCTGGTTTTCTGGCCCAGGTGTGGTAAAATAACCTAGAGCAACAGTGAGAAGGTTCACTCGGCATGAGAACAGCTGAGGGCATCTACTTTGATTACAATAGAAACATTAGTTGATTCTCGGCCCTGAGAAAGACCTCTATCATACCATCAACACAACGGGAAAGGGAAGGAACACATTTTTCCCTAAATAAAGGAGAGCAGGCACTTTGGGCTTGTCTTATCTATAAGGGGTTAGTCATTTGCGAAAAGGACACTAATGATCACGCAATAGACTATACTTCCTCAGAACTATGCCTCATATAAAAAGTTGACCTTTACCCCATCAAAATTCTTATAAAAATCAAGAGTATCAGAGAAACTGGTTGAGTTTTGCCACCTTAGCAATTGCCAAAAGGTAAAAAGTAGAAGAGAAAACACATTAGGTCAATAAACATGACATGTTCAGAAGAAATATAAACCAAGACAACAGTGGTATACTTTCACACGTTTGATTGGCAAACATTATAAAGTCTAACACCACACCAAGAGTTGCTTGTTTAGATTATATATGGGTAAAAGTTGAAAAACAATTTGGCATTGTCTTATAGAAATGTACATTCACAAATACTATACCCCAAAAGTTCCACTCTTAGGTATATAGCCAAGAGAAGCATTCACAAGCATAGGTGATTTTAAAATGTTCAGGGTCAGGTGGGATGGCTCATGCCTGTAATCCCAGCACTTTGGGAGGCTGAGGTGGGGTGGATCACCTGAGCTCAGGAGTTTGAGACCAGCCTGGGCCAACACGGTGAAACCCTGCCT